TGGAATGAATTCCCCAATTGCAGTATTGGGGGCAGCTGGGAAAGAGCTGGTATAGCCTTCACTCTTAATAAAGATCCGAAGATAGCTTGTCCCCTCCCTACTGGGTCTGTTAAATCAACTCCAAGCTGGAGATTAGCATTTTTAATGGGCTGGGAGGCAGAGCATTTAGGAGACAGGGATGAGAGATGACATATTTAGGGGTCTCTGGGGCTCTGAAGAGGGGCAGGTGCTTTGTCTGGCCTCAGTCAAATGGAGATGGCTTTCTTCAAACAAGATGCTTCCTTCGTCTCTCCTCAGTGGATGCTCCTGCTCTGCACACTCACCAGTGAACCCCACACCCTGAGGTCTACCCTGAAATCTCATTGCATGTTCAATATTCAGGTATCCAGTAACCACAGAAAAGGAAACAAAAAACTTGAATTTTCTAGCTACTTCTTTCAAAGGAATGCTGTGTCATTTATTCAATCAGTTCATTCATTTTGTCCTTCATTTGGCACTTGCTATGTGTCCTGCATTAGACTGCAATCGGAGATGGAAGAAAAAAGTCCCTTATACTCGGGATATTCACAATTTAGTGAAAGAAATAGACAGTACCACATGCCACGCCCCATGATGCCTAAAATGGGCACTGGGGAGGCACAGTGAGAGAATCTAAACCCCTGACTACATGTGCACACAGCGCTGTCAGGAAGACTCCTCCATATCCTGAGCTGATGACTGAAGTCAAGCTGGATGAAAGAGTGGACATCTGTAGTATCCTGGATATCCTGGAAGCTGACACAGGAGGATTGCTTGGGTCCAGACCAACTTAGCAAGGCTTTGTTACACATGCACACACCACACACAAATGTACACACACATACACATATATAGACATCCATATAGACACATGCATGCACACATATAGACACACATACATAACCTAGCACAGAGACCACAGCTGCCTTCGAGTGTGGGACATATGTTCTAGAAGGTGTACGGAGAAAAGCATTTAGAGTGGCTTAGAATCAGAAAGAGGCAGGGTCTGGAGTTGGGTGTGCCAGGGCTGCTTGAGCATCAGTTTCAGTGGCTACCCTAGAAGAAGGGGAGGGGTGTGAGAAAGGTCAAGAGAGCTTTGGGCTCTACTTTGTTTGGTGACCCCATTGTCCAGGAGCCTCAGGAATCACCTTTGCTTACCTGCCCATCTTTTGCAGGACAGTGAGGACTGCAGTTCCGATTTGCTCTTCAGATGTTATTGACTGGCAGAGGGTGGCGATGAATATCCACTTTCAAGTTTAACTGAATCACCAAACCTGGGAATTGTGAGACTATTTTGTGTGTTGGGGGTGGGGGTGGGGGGCAGACCAGAATCTAGGGTATATGAGGGGAGTGGTGAAAAATGAGACCTGAGTCAGAGCATCAAACCCAGGTGTTTACATTTTCTTCTTCTGTTAGTGAGCAAAGATTTCAAGTAAGGTTCAAATACAATCATATTTGTATTTTAAAAGTTCCTCTGGCAGTGTCATGATAGGTAACATAGGAGGGGGAAGGACACTGTCAGTTTGGGCCACTAGGCTTTGAGCAAGGGTTAGGCAGTGCAAATGAACATAAGGAACAAATTTCAGAGATAGTTTGTAAACCTGAGAATGACAAGAAGGTTCAGAGATACTGTATGACATGCCAGTGAGTTACCTAACCTGCAAATAAAGGTCTTGCTTTACTGATCCCAGCACTTGGGAGGCAGAAGCAGGCAGATCTCTGTGAGTTCAAGGCCAGCCTGGTCTACATAGCAAGTTCCAGGGCAGCTGGGGCTACTGGGAGACCTTGTCTCAAAAAAAACAAAAAAACAAAAAAACAAAAAAACCCCCCAAAAACCAAAAAACAGCAGCTGTATTGGGAGACCTTTAGAGGGAGAGTAAGCAAGGGGGTTAGAGGATTACTTGGTAGTTGTTTGTTCAGGAGAGCTGGGTCTGCACTTGAGGGGGTCCTTTCGCCCTCACTTCCCACTTCTACCTGTGAGCTATCAGTTACCTTTTGACAGCCTCCTACAGCAGGCTGAGGACAGGGAGGGGATTGCTAGTGTGCTAGTGTCAAGTGTCCTTCACTGCTTAGACTCCTTCCTGGGTGATGCTTTTTGATCTTCAGAGACTCAGCAAAACAAGACCCAAGCATCAAGAAAGGAAGTTGAGTTCTGCTATTCAACCTACTGTAGGTCTCTTTGCCTTAGGATTTGTCATTAACTGAGATTCCTTTGAGTCTGGAGGGGTTTTTGTTTGCAAGAAGCAGTTTTATTCATTCTTTCAGCAACATTAACTGTCCTGTGCTAGGCAGGTTCTGTCTTTCCACCTAAAGGCAAAGGGTGCAGAAAGATGAGCAAAAGGAGACAGGGTGCCGTTGGGAATTCCTCTCTGCTTCCCAGCCTCTCCTGCATGTTGCTCTTTAGGTGGTATGTGCACACAGTTCCACTGAACCAGAAAGTATCTCCTTGACTGTATTCATTCCTATACCAGCCACTATGTTTAAAACACAAATTGTACAAATGAGTTTTCCAAATTAAGACCAACTTCTAGATGGAGCTATTATGATAGAATTCCAACAGGTCATGCAGTTGACCTGTCTGGTAGAAGGGAGCTTCCACTCAACCTTCCAGTGTCTCCTAGGGCACTGAACCCCTTCTGACAATCCACATTCTCTGTGCCTGACTTAAGATGTCTTGTTTTGAGTTGGGAACTTCTCACACAGAATTCCGACAACAGCTGCCTGGTGCCCACAAAAAATCCTTTGATTCTGCTCTCCTTTCTTTTGGTTGGTTGAAACGTTCTGTCAGCCTGCCTGATCTTGAACTTACTATGCAGCTCATGCTGGCCTCAGTCCCTCCATCTTCTGTCTCAGCCTCCTGAGTGCTGGGACTGTTCACATTTGTCACCATGCCTAGTGCTTGAATTCACTTGTCATTAACCTTTTGATGTCCCTTCTCACATATTAGTCAAAGAAAATGAACAAATCGAATTGCTGCAGGTCCATTTTGAACAACTTTTATTATACGTTTAGTGTTTTCTATACAAAAGAAATCCATTTTTTTTACAGTGATTCAAAAAAAGTCTGAATAATTTGGCCTTTTCATTGCTCATGCAGTCAGTTTATAAGTCCATGTATTAGACAGTCCTCCATGGCCCAGAAGTCCCTGCTGAAGGTCGTGCATGACAACGACCCCTCAGATACACATCTGTCACTGACAAAGTTTGTTAATGCAAAGTAACTCACAAGAAGGAAAGGACATGATGTGAGAGGGGTTAAAACGAGCCTGCCATGGAGAGTTAAATGTTTAACCAATGGAAAAAGGTCAGACCAACTCATGGGTGTGTGGGGATGTAGAGAGGTATGGAAACACAGGGGGGAAAAATTCTCCATTGAAAATGCCACATTGGAATGGGGAGATGTATGTGTGGGGTGTGGGGCAGCGCAAGAGGTCCTCTAGGATCCAGCGTAGCTGAGGGTGGGACTAGGACAGATGGTGTCATGTCATAGGTGACTGATGCTCAGCTCAGAAAGGAGGAGTTGGCAAAGAGCTGGGGAGCCGGGCAGAAGGAAAACACTGACTGAGGACATCACATCTGAGAATCAGAAGAGCAAGCAGGTCAGTACTGCCTGATCTACATCAATTTGAAAAAGAAACAGTAGTGCACAAAATTCTGGATGTCTTCTCCCAGACTTTGTGTTATTGCTTCACAGAAGTCTTTACATCTGCTGAACTCTAGCTCAGCAGATCCCAGGGTGGCAGGCTTGCCTGGGCCCTGCTGCCCCTCAGCACCTGCAGGTTCTGTGGCCAAGGACAAAATGAACAGTGACCCTTCCAGACCCTCACTTCTAAGGAATACAGTGTGTTTAGGGCCTGGTGTGTGATGAAGCAAAGGACACCGTGCTGAGGCCCAGTTCAGGTTTCACAGTAACACTTATCAATCATTCTACTATTGACCGTGGGCTGCCTGTAACTGCCTGGCTGACTTAACCACAGGCTGGCACAGACAGGCGGATCTTGGGACTCAGGGAAACCCTTTTTGTTGGTCTTTGGGGAGATCCTCGGGCATGGGTGAAATGCTGGAGAGGTGCAACAAGGTATGATGAGGAAGGATCTCAGGCAACACCTGCTGAGGCAGCTGTGGTGAGATGGGAGAACACTTGATAGAGTTAGAAGGCCCAAGTTCAAGTTCTAACTGTATCCTCACCAGCTTTGCAGTTGAGCAAGTCCCTCTTCCTCCCTGCACTGTCATTTCCTTGTCCGTACAATGAGTCATTTCAATTAGATTAGTTCTGAGGTTCCTTCACACAAGGAATCAATTCTGTCCTAATCTAGAAGCCTGTATCTGCTTCATTTCCATCTCCCTTGTCATGGAACAGCCTTTTAATACTAATGTGCTGATAAGAGCAGCGCTGGTTTTGGCTGTGGCTGGAGACAGCCCAGCTTCCCTGGGCAGTTGTCCTTTCTCTGTACTGAATGTGTCTCAGAAAGGCCCCTTCTGAGAAGAGGCAAAGCAAGGGCACTTTCTGGGCTTGGGCTGCACTGTGGAAAGCCACAGGTCTGGTCTGATGCAGTTGGCTTGTCTAGTTGAAGGGAGGCTCCACACAACCTTCCAGTGTCTCCCAGGGCACCAAAGTGCCTTCTGACACTTCACACTCTCCATCACTAGCTTGAGACTTCTTGTTTTGCACTGGGGGCCTCCTACATGGAATTTCTAGGCTGCTATGTGAAGCTCACACAGGGACTTTTGCTTCCCTATGAAGCTTTTGCTTCTCAGCACTCTGTGGGTGGCTAGGTAGATCTAACTACAGCTGTAGGCTTGCATTGGGTAGCGGCTGCTGGACGGATGTCTTGGAGGGCCATCCCACTGCAAAGTGATAGGATGAAAGCGTAGGCTCTGGGATAGCATTCTAATTTTTAATTTTTTTTCTTTTTGAGACAGGGTCTTTCTGCAGCCCCACCTGTCCTGGAACTATGTGGACCAGGCTGGCCTCAGTCTCAGAGATCCACCTGCCTCTGCCTCCCAAGTGCTGGGATTAAAGGCGTGTGCCACTATGCCTGGCTTGGACAGGCATTCTAGCAGTCTGCTACTTTTCTGCTGAGAACTGAGTCCCAAGAAGGCCATAAAAGGCCCATTGAAAGGCCCAGGAAGTGACAGTGAAGTGGCCTCATAAATGCCAAGGGAAACTAATGTTGAACCCTGCTTCCCCATCAAAAGACTGTTGGGGAGTGGGGGGATCTAGAGTAGCTGGGCTCAGCCCGGTGCCAGGAGGAGCTCAGGTCTCTTTTCTTCTCCAGATGACTGTCTTCTACGTACCCAGGGTTGCCTCTCTTCCTCCATCAAGTCCCTCCCCACCCTCCAACCCTTAGCAGTTCTTCTCTCGTGAGCCCAGATATAGACACATGCTCTGTAAGATGATGTCATGATCTGGATTGTTCCCTGCTGGAAGCACTGTTCTGCAATAGGGCCACAGTATGCTCTGTGCATGTGTATGTATTGGTGTGGTAGGTGGGGAGGTTGTCCCTTAGCTGGAAACCCTACAGACATCCATGGATCAGTTTTTCACTCCCTTTGTAGTGCTGGCTATGGCCAGGGAAACTAGCAACATGCTTTCTGTCTGAGCTGCTGATTTCCTGTGTGGGTCTCACTGGCTCACTGGCTGACTCTTGGCCCAGCAGTCACTTCTAGACCTTTCTTGGAGCAGTGGCCCCTTCTACTCCTACCTCTGAGGGCAAAGGAAATGGGCAATGGTGGGAGTCAACCTGGCTTTCCCTTTAGTGTAAACTCAGTTTTCTCTGCACCAGGGACAGATGGGTCCTGTTTACCATATTGCAGGCAAGGTGGGATCCTTGCCTGACCTGTGGGTTTATTTCCCTCTGAACAGGGGTATTCAAAGAAGGGCTGAATGGGGGAAGACAGACATCCTGAAAAGGTGTTAAAGAGGCTCCAAGAGCTGGTTGTTTAACCCCACTTATCTTGACTGCCATGTCCTGCCCAGATTTGCTGGCCAGATGGACCACATCTTCCTTGGAAGCTTCTCCCTTCCAGCTTGGCACAATCAGTAGCTTAAACAACAGAGGACACAATGCTTCCAACTTAATGGTCACTGTGTTCCAGTAACTCAGTTACCCATTTCCAGTAACATTAGCCCCGTGGGGGCAGGGACCACATTTGATCTCACACACACAGCATTCAAGGCTCAAGCCTTGGTCCAGACTAGATGCTCAAGAGTATTTGATAAATGGGCAAATGAACAGTGAGGGCGCAGGCAGCCACAACACTTATGGGTAGGCACATGGCAGCCTAGCCCAGGGAACGTGCAGAGTCACTGCACGATGACCTGCACCCTGCCTCTGCCACCAGCAGATGGGCAGAAACACTAGCAGGACTGCTTTCTCCTAGCCTCACTTTGAGGTGGCTGTTTGAGATCCAGATGGCAGGGAACGCTGGGAAATACTGCTCTCCAGTTGAGCTGGGGTAGATTCTGGCAGGCTCTGTGGAAAGTGACCTCTCCTCTTCTCAGAGGAAGCTACCTCCTCTACTCCATGACCTCATATCTCAGCCTGGTCTGTCTGGGCACCTACCACTTCTGCTTAGAAGTTGGTTTTCCAGCCCCAGATCTGCTCTTGCCTGGACAGCTGTAATAATGTAGTGTTTGGGGCCTCTATCAGCACCCACAAAACAACAGCCCGTGAGAGGGGTTAACAGCCTTCTCTTCATACATGAAGGAGGAGGGTACTGAGTATAGTAGGACTCTAGAATGAGGCACAAAGACAGCTTAAGGATTCACTTCTCCCCTAGACCCTCAAGACCAACGCAGCCCTTCCCAGGCTGTCTGTGGCAGAGAAAGGTCTACGATCTCATAGGTCTTTCCTCCTGCTGTCAGTACAACAGGTTAACTACTGGACGGTGCAGTGTGAATGATGCCTGACCGACTGACCACTCTGTCCTGATCCAAAATGTTTTCTTTACTTCACCTCACTTCTCCAGCTTTCCTCTCAGGCCTACACTGCAGTAATGCCTAGCTGCATTCAAGCAGGTGCCAGAAGGAGCCAGGGGAGGAGACCCTGAGCCTCCTCCCAGCCTTCTGATGTTTACCCTGTCCCCTTTCACAATGAGAGCTGCCCCTCAGGCCTCCAGACAGCAGCACTGGCCATGGCTTGGGCCAAAGGACCATAACATACTCTCAGGATCAAACGTCATTGGCTCAGCTCTGGGCTATGGTTTCTTACCTGCAGAGTGTGTCTATGGGCATGATGTTCAACTGAGTTCTTATTAAGTGATGCAAGCGTTGCTAATACCTTTGTGGCTTAAACATGTGGCAAATGATGCTTTAGGAGAGTTCCTGAAGGGCACAGCCCTAGTCCTGCCCAGGCTGGAGGCTCAAATTGGAGGCCACATCAAGTGGCAAGTGATCCATTCTTAGTGGTCAGCCTTACCTTCCCGCAACAGCCTCAGGCTGCAGACACAGTTACAGGGTGACACTGGCTGAAGGTCTCCCCTCTCTTTGTGTCACTGAGGCTAGGTACCTTTGGTTTCAAAAGTGGATTAGGTGGGGGGTGAAGGCAGCACCTTCAGGCTGAGAACTGCAGGCCTGTGAGTGTCTTCATTAGGGTGGTAGGCTAAGGGCGGGTGTGGAGTGACTGCTTCCCGTCCGAGAGGACACTTGCATAGGCTGCCCCAGTCTCGAGACACACATCACTGGAGGCATTGAGGCTTGCAGGGTGGGGCTAAGGAGCTGGGAACTGCAGGGGTAGATCAGAGCTGCATAAGGCATACGAAGAGCATTGCGTCCTTTCATGCAGGGGCATCACAGCACTGTTAATATGGTGCACCTGGTGGTCCCGATATGTATGTACCCTAATGAAAGGACAGACAGGCTCAGTCTGGGGGCAGCAGATCCCCATCCATATACCAAGTCACACGCAAGTCAATGTCAGACACAATTGAGCAAGGAGAGGATGGAAGGGGTATAGTACTGTTTTCCCCAAATATACCAGCCAGGCTGTATCACAGGGTTCCAGCTCTTTGAAGGTAGCAGCAGAGACCCTGACCAGTTGGGCAGGTGCAGTCCTCTCTCCTCCACCCTGGGTTTAACTGCCAGGGAGGAAGAAGTTACAAAGCTGGCTCTTTCTTCTCTCCAGAGGTGTGCTCAGTTACCTCGGGACAAGTCCTTTCCATCAGTACCCATGCTTTTTCCTTACCATCTGCAGTCAACACAGCTCATTTTCAGAATCTCTGGCGGTGGGGACAGGGTAAGAACGAAGAACAAGAGGTAAACTCCCCTCCCAACCAAACCAGAGTGTGGCAAGGAGTCCTGCCCACCTTCTCCCTGCCAAAAATACTGTCATTTCCCAGAGAGGAGCCAAGCCCAACTCAGTGCGGACAAGGCCGAGGCAGATGGGTAGAGGGTGGGGGTGGGGAGGCATATGGCAAGAAAGGCATCCTTCTGAAACACACTGGCCCGGAGGCAGCTTGAATACTACAGCTTTTCTGCATGTTGTGTTATGAATCAATCCTTTTTGCCTATCTTTGTGGTTTCCTGGGAGAGAGCCCACATATTTTTCCAGGGACATTGCTTCAAAAAGTAAAAGAAAAATGGAGATATTGGGTGTGAAGGAGAAGGTGCACAAAGTAAAAATGAAGACAAAAGTACTGTAACCAATAGACATGGGCAAATGTGTACTGGCCGAAGTCAAGGACGGCCAGTGTGGCTGGGTGCTCAGGGTGGCTGTGAGACAGGACAAGGGACCAGGGCTCCCTCCAGTGAGCACATCTCTAGCTCTCCCATACCAGTGGCACCGGTAGGGACATCACTGAGAGGGGCTTGTGGGTTGCTGGGTGGTCACTGGTCCTCATAGCTTGGCAGACCCCCCATATTGTACCCTTGTCCCTGAAGGTGGTTGAGGCTTTGTGGTAGGTCTGCAGCGGCTTCGTCTCCCCCTTTCCCTCCTACTTGCAAAGTAGCGCTGTGCCTGGGGTGCTCCATCAGGCCAGTGAATAGATGGCATTGACGGGTGACGTGGCCTCTGAGCTCTCATTGCCCTCTGTTTCTTCCTTGTCCTTTTTGACTGTGTACTGGCCGATGAAGGAGCCGTCCTCGTTGAACTGGCCCTCGCCGCCTTCGCCGTAGTCCACCAGGCTGTCATCACTCTCCTGCTGTTTGATGGTACCGTCCAGGGATGTCTGGCTGCCCTGCAAGGGCTTGTTGTCCTCATCACTGGCCAGAGACAGACAAGAGTCAGGTTCAGTCTGGCCAGAAAAGCCCAAACCCAGCAGAGGGCAGGGAAGGGATAGGACAGCTGGTTTCCTGCTAAGCAAGTGCTCTACATTAACTCAGAGAGGATAAGACCTGGGATCAGCCAGTCCTCACCCTCTCATGCCCAGCAGGCTCTATCAAAGGGGGACTGAGGCATAAAGAGAACAAGGGTCTTCCTCAAGGTAAGTAACATGCTGGGGCCACTTCTAGACCCCTGATCTGAAGTCCTTTCTGTGAGATGCTGCTATTGTCTGAGGCGGGAGCAGGTAAAGGATGGCTACCTTATAAATAGCAGAGCTGCAGCTTGTGAGACCATATAGCAAGAATCAGGATGGGGCACTCCAGTCCTGAATAAGTCTCACCCTTTGGCCTTATGACCTGGCTATAACCAGTCCATCAAGAGGCATGGAAGGTCGAGTATCCACGGCCTGTAACTGCAGGACAAGGCTCTGGGCCTGACAAGAAGTGAACACCTTAAGGAAACACTCTGCCTTTCCACTTCCATCTCAGCATTGTTTGACTGGGCAAAGCAGTGCTAATGCTTTGGGCCTAGCAAATAAAAGAAGTGGGGTGATTGGAGGGACATTCAGAGAGGCATGTGAGGCCAGAAAATGTGAGAAAACACTAGCAAGGCTTGGAGGATCCTATTAGCCACCCCCTTGGAGGCTTCTAGGCCCAGTCCTTAAGCCCCTCCTTGGTGAAGAGAGCTGAGGTCTGGGGAATAAGGTGGCATTTGTCCACAGAGACAGATGTTCAGCCTGTATGTCTGCCGTACTCTCTAGGACACTAGGGGCTGTTCCTCCACGCTGGCCTGGTGCCCTTCCTCCAAGCAAGCTGAGAAACTTGCTTGACACAGAGGAGGTGCTACAGGCTAACACTTCACAGGTGACAAGGGCTCCAGGCAGGAGGCAGCTATGGACGAGCAGCAGAAGTCTAGCACCTGACTGGTGGAACCACAGTGGTGCCGGGTAGCCCAAGCTCACTCTTACTCCTTGCAAGGTATAGGGTGGGGGCTGAACTGCCATTAGAGCAGTCAGTGCGTGTTAACAGCAGCATCAGATAGATGGCTGTCAGTGAGGGGCCTCAGACAGACCAGGAGCTAAGCATGAATAGATGGAGACCACTAGCCACTAGCCCACAACCCTCATGTGCTGAGTGGATGTGATTTGCTAACATGACCTGTGTGCTCTGATGGAAGCACTGCAGGAAGGTCGGCAGGAGAGCAAGACAAATGAATCTCCTGGGCTGGGCTGAGTTTGGGTCAGGTGGAGCTCTCTGCAGGGCTGGACGTGGCACTTTCTGCAAATGGCCAGGTTCTTACTGCCAGGCTCCTCACCCCACTTGCTGTATTCCCACATGCCACTGTAAGGCATGAGGACCGCGTTAGGCAGTCTATGGGGCTTTGTGTATTGGATCCAAGGACCTCAGTTAAATGTTCTACTGGACAGAGACAGCTCAACAGAGTCAGAGACTTAAGCAGATGGGGTTCTTGGTCTAGAACAGGCCTTGTTAAGGAGGCTTGAACAAGATGGTAGCCTGTTCTAGCCAAATACTTGTCAGCCTGGTCCCCCAGAGACCTGTAAGGTCCAAGAGGACAGACATGGGGAAGAGGTAACGCCTCATAAGAAACATATCTAGCAACAAAGCCACAGAAGCGAGTAAGGGGATCTCTACTTCTTGCTTCCAGGCCTGTTCCCTTAGAAACTTAATTCTTCTGACTTACTAATTTTACACTTTCTCAGTAGGGCTCCTGGACTCATTCAAAGCAGACTCTTGGATGGATACTGCAGAGCCCCCAGAGACAAAGCAGAGGGGTATATGTGCTGGTCAGAGGTGGGGGGGCAGGAAAAATAGCTCATCCATATGCAAGTTGCCTGATCCTGTCCTCATCCCCTCCCCTTGGGCTGCTCTAGGGGAGAAAAAGCCCTTTGAAGTAAGGACCAGGATTATCTCTCAGTCCAAGGGAAGGCTGGACCCTTCCCTGTGAGCCAGGAAACCAGGGAAGGAGGGGAGGGTCTCATGTTCACTCTTTTGGGTCTCACAGGGATGTCGGGCTGGACAGGTAATTGTAACCATATGTTACCAGATGGCTCTGGGCAGGCAGTATCTCTGCTACCCAATGACCTGGTGTTGCTTACCAGGCTGCCAATGGGCAGGTGGTAGAGGCCCAGAAAGGAGGAGAGGTCAGAGGAAGATGGGATGGTGACCTGTGCCCAGAGAATTAACAGGGTAGGGGCCAGGAAGGAGAATTATGATCTGACATTTTTTTTTCCTACCCAAATTGGTCTGGGATGAGAGTCCATGATGTATTCTGCCCCATTCCTGAGCTCAGAATTTATTACCTGTCTGTGCCGGATAGCTTTAGTGTCAACTTGACATACCTGGGTTGAGGGCGCCTCAATTGGGGAATTGCCTCTATTGGACTGGCCTGTGGCCATGTCTGAGGGGTATGTTATTGATGAGTGATGTGGGAGGGCCCAGCCCACTGTGGGTGGTACCACCCATGGGCAGGTGGGCCTATGCTGCGTAAGAAAGCAGGCTGAGCAGGGGCCAGGGGAGTAAGCCAGTAAGCAGTGTTCCTCCATGGCCTGTGCTCCAGCTCCTGCTTCCAGGCTCCTGCCCTGAGTTCCTACCTTGGGCTCCCTGATGAACTGCAACCTGGGAGATGTAAGCTGAATAAACCCTTTCCTCCCCCAAGTTGGTATTGGTCAGAGTATTTTGTCACAGCAATGAAGAAACAGACTAAGACACTGTCCAAAAGGGTAACTGACAACTTCATGAGGTCTAGACTCAAAGGCCTGTTCAGATCTGAGAGGGAGTGCACAGGACAGCAGCATCAGTCCTGCCCCATCCTATCTAGCCCTGCCACTAGCTCACAGGATCACTGTCTTGGGAGTTAGGGGTAGAGTGCTAGCCTAGAGGATGCCTGATGGTCAAGTGCATGTCACAGAAAAGAGGTCTGGGGTTAGTTTTGAGTAAAAAAGTAGAAAGATACAAACAGGAAGCCCTGTCCATTAGAGCCTGTGTCAGGGAAGCAGCTTTGTTGGATATAAAGCTGCGCAGCCTCTCTGAGCAAGCACACTCAGCTGCATGGCTGCTGGAGGGTAGGGGCCAGGAGGTGGATGCAGTGGCCTTGTGGACAAGACAGGCTGTGTGAGGGCACTGCCTCAGGGAGGCAAGATCAGCTACCAGACAGGGAAGGAAGATCATTCACCTGTAGTCAAATGAGCCATCCTCTTCTTTAGGGTCTTCAGGGCCCAGGGGAACATCCTTCTTTTCTCGCACTTGGTCAATGAGAGAAGGAAAGACAGACATGATCAGGAAGCATGCCCCTGCTCTCTAGGGTGCTACTGAACAGAGCCAACAGATAAAATTTTGGGGGACTGGGGCAAGCATGAGAACCTGTTTGAATCCCTAGTACTCAGGTAAAAGCCGTGCATGGTTGTGTGTACTCATAACTCCAAAGCTGGGAGAGGGTAGAAACAGGAGGACTGTGGGGCTAGTCTAACTCCAGGTCTAGTGAGTGAGAGACTCTGTCCCAAAGGAACATGGCAGAAAGTGATAGAGTAGGGCACCAAATGTCCTCTTTTGGCCTCTGTGTGTATTTCACACACACACACACACACACACACACACCCCTTGGGCCCAATGGTGCTTGATGAAACACTCCCTTTTGACAACACACCCTGGATGCCTCCCGGGCTCAATCAGTTGCTAAGCTGATTCTGCCTTCTCCACACCCCAAGGGGTCTTTACACCCAGGCTGACAAATCTGTCAGCTCCCTATCATTTCTCCCTGAATTGTTTCAATATACACAAGAGATGTGATTCCTTTGCCAAAGGCAAATACTCCCTTGTTTGTTCCTTTCTTATTTTGCTTTGTATTATAAATATTCCTGTATATTCTCTATACTTGTGACAGAATGCCAGCTCTTTCCTTCAGGATGGGAGGATTGTGTTTCTCCAAAGGTCCTAGCAAAGCAGCCTGGCCTCCCAGGCCTGTTATGCCTATGGGATGGAGGTGGCCTCCCAGGCCTGTTATGCCTATGGGATGGAGGTGGTCTCCCTTGTTATCATGCCCCCTTTTCCTATATGGCCTCTGGGATGGTGACATTCCCCATCAAGGCCTATCCCTCTGTGCAATGTTGATGACAGACATCTTTCCCTTTGTATTTCTGGCATCCAGCACGGAGGCTGGCATACAGCAGGTGCTTACATGAGGGACTGTGTGAAGCATGAAGCTGGATAATCAGCTCATTTGAGAGGTGAGAACATTCACAGAATCATCTGTAGGAAGACTGAAGACTACAGTCCGGGCCCTGGCTTCTGGGTCATTTGTCTTACTGTATGAGGTGCTCACCCCAAAGCAGGAGGGAAACAGTCTGGCTTGGAAAAACTTTCTGAAATGGGACACTTTCTGGAAGGGCAAAAGCAGGCTCTAAGTGTATCTGATGGATTCCTCAGGAATCTAGGTCCCCCTGCCTTAGTGAGTCCACCTAGGACTGGGCATCTCCCCAGCTCTGGCTTTCTCTCTTTTCACAAGGAAAACAGTCCAAACACAGTGAAACAAAGTAAAGGAAGCCACTGTTTACCAGCAAGAATTTAAGTTCTGCCTTCCCTCACCTAACAGAGGCTCAGCCTCAGGACCTGAGGGCCTATGGGTCCTTGGTAGGGAAGGAGATTAAACTGAATCTCCACTCCCTTTGTGTGGAGTTTGGTGTCTCCAAGGGGAGGACTTGTTCACCTAGGAGGAAGGAGCACTTGGGAGTATGGGGTGTGTTTGGTGCTGGGGCACCAGGGCTCTGGGGCAGGAGCAGTTTCATTCTGTAGTTCAATAGGATGGCGGCTCTCAGGATGGCTACATTACCCTGTCTCCTGTCAGCCTGCACACACTGTCACAGACAGATGGCTGTCTTGACCATTTGGGAAAAACTCACTATTTTCAGCAACAAGAATGGGAGAGGTCCTTGCCCTTGACATGGAGGTTCTTGAGGCACAGAGGAGACATGTTTCTGTGGGACTTTTGGGAAGGGTGGGGTGCTCTCAGCACAGCACTGCCCCCCAGCCTCTCCCCACCTTCCCCAGAGCTGCTGAGTCTGCTGTGATAGTTACTGAGGCAAGCCTCAGCATGAAGCTTTCCTCTTGGCTAAGCTGCTTCTGCTCAGGGTCCCTACTCTCCATTTCTAACATGGCCACCTTGTCCCTACTTCTGCCCCAACACAGGATCCTAATGACCCTCAGGCTGAAGAAAGCCACTTGGAGGCTAGAGAGATAACTGTGCTTGCAGAGGACCTGGGTTTGGTTCCCAGCACCCACACGGCAGCTAACAATTGTCTGTAACTCCAGTTTCAAGATATCCAACACCCTCTTCCACCACCCGCAGGCATTGCACACACATGGTGCACCTACATATATGTAGGCAAAACACTCATAACATATAAAATAAAAATAAACAATTCAAAAAAAAAAAAAAGAAAAAGGCACTTGGCTTGCAAGTGGAAATTGAGTCAAGGGTGGGAGGGATGTCATCTCAGTAGGAGCCAGGGTTTCTCCTGTGCTGCTCTGGAGCTGCCTGGACTCTATCACCCACCCATCATTAATTCAAGTGCTTGCTGGCAGCCTCAGGCCTGGAGTTCTAAGCTTCAGAGGAACAGATATCAGAGCTCTGGATCTGATGGGGCCTAGTGACTCATGGGAGGACCTGACCACTTGCCTCACATCTTACCTGGGTACTTGCCCCCGCGGCTCCTTTTGATGAAGCAGACGATGAGCAGGATCAGCACCAGGAGGGCGATGGCGCACATGAGCCCGATGAACCAGCCCTGGGTGGCGATGTCGGCCTGGTTATTGGTGTAAGCTGGTGAGGAGGGCAGGAAGCAAACAGTGAGCCATTGCTTGGGAGTGAGTGGGGAAGAGAGATGGGGAGGAGTGAAGCTAGTGTGCAGGCTTGTCCTAGAGCCTACTGCTGTCACCTAGCAGCCCTTTGGCCCAAGAGACTCTGTTCAAGGGACAAAAGAAAACAGTTAAAGAACCAAGGTGAAAAGATCAGAAAAGAGGCAAAAGGAAGGGGTGCAGGGAGCAGACAAGCAGAAGGCCGAGCAACCCTGTACGATGTGGACGTTTCCTAAAAAATACATTTTCACAGGTGACCACAGCCAGGTGGGGCTGAGGGAAGCCATGTGGTAGCACGATTCTGGTGAATGGGCCTGCAAGGGAGCTGGGCATAGCTGTACTGTCTAAATGGGCTGGAGGACACCTTGTAGGCACAGCCTCCTTGCCCACCAGCAGGCTTTGGCAGTAGATCCTGGGCCAGATGGAGGTTCACACAGATGGCTCTGTGTGTTTTCAAGTCTCCCCGGTTGGACTGTGTGTTTCCTGACAGCAAAGCCAATCCAGGACTAGGTGCTCTGGTCAGGCAGGCAGAGATGCTCAGGCTGTGCCCTTCACTCAGTCCATATCCTTCCAGGCCACCTCATAGGGAAATGCTCCCAGTGAGTTGTGACAAGACGACTTGCCTCCTTTTCTATCCATGCCTGGAGGCCATCTTAAAGATCCCTTTGTGGTTTGAAGAAAATACAGGTAGGCCTAGATAGCAGGAGTCCAAGAGAACTCTGATGTGTCCATTATGACCCAGGGGTTAGGATTTGGGTTTGGAAGGGGTTGTGGTAAGTACCCACTGACCCTTCTTTCTATGGACTAGAGGACAAAGGACATACCTTCTGAAATGCAGCCTGTCATAGAAACTGAGACACAAGGAGGGAAGGGACCAAGGAAAATATCCAAAGCAGCCCAGAGTGGCCTTGAGAGAATCAGACAGCAGCAGGAGCCACAGAACCCGTGGAACAAGTCATGGACTCAGCCTCCTCCTGGGAAGGAGCACTGGAACTGTGACATCCTGCGTCCTTGCTCCTGGGTTCTATTACATGCCACGCTGTGGGCAGGTATCTGGATACAAATCACTCTATGCCCATATTGGGTGCAGAAGCTGTTTTCATAGGCTTTTTAAGGTCTAGCTGGGGGACACTGTACCAGGAAGCTCTCTCAAGAAACTGAGGACTGATGAGCAGGTGCCTCAGTAACCCCAAGATGCAAAGTACCTGAGTCCATAGGAACATGACTGTGATTGCCCGGATCTGTGTATGCTGTGGAGAGAAGTCCCAGCCCTGCTTCCGTTCCTGCTCCTGTCAGGTGTTCCTCACATAGCATCCCCGCACTCCATGCAGGATCAAAACACTTCCTTGCTTCAACCCTCCAAAGCTTCTAATTGCTATTAGGGAAAACCTAACAGTCCTCACCCTACTAGTCAGGCTCTGTCGGAGGTGGCCTGCCATTCTCAGGCCTACACCCCACTCTACTTACTCTCCATGCTCCAACTGCTTGGCCACTTTCATTCCTGCTTCTGCACCTGGCACTAGCTGCTCTTTCTACAGAAAAGAGCTGTGAGTCTCTTGGCACTGCTCAGCTCATGCCCTAGAGCTGCGCTAAAGGAAGACACAGACCAGTCCATCACAGCTGTGAGTCTCTTGGCACTGCTCAGCTCATGCCCTAGAGCTGTGCTAAAGGAAGACACAGACCAGTCCATCACAGCTTCACCTCACCACTCTGCTGGACTTCACTGCCCAGGGCCCAGCAGTTCTGTTATGTCTCCCTCACTGTCCTTCTAGAAATGCCCACCTTCCTTGCATTTGCACTGACCTTAAGTACTTTGTGGACACCCTGGAGATTCTGAACCCATATAACTTCTGCAGATGCCCCCTCCATATGAATCAAAGTACTTGCCTTTCTTCCCTCAAAGTTGCTTCTTTGTGTAAGTGGGATCCAAACCTTGGTCCCTCATTCCCACAGGGACCCCTGAACTCCTAGCATGCTCCATTTCTTCCACTTTATTCTATCCTTTTTGTGTCTTAAAACACAAATCCTGGAGGAACCTGTCAGGCCTTTCAGTACACCTATGCCCTGCCCCATCAGGTAAACTCGTTATCTCCCTTGGTCTCCAGCTCCTGCCAAGTCTGCTCTCCACTCACAGCAAGCTGATTTCAGGCTGCTCTGAATGCCATGTCTCAGCTACTCTTGTGAGCTGACCTCTTCCACACCTACCTTCGCACCCTATCTCTGGCCTCAGGCACTTGGCCAACTTCTACCTGGCGATCCTTTAAATCATCTCTTGTCCCTGCAGCCAACTCCATGCCTGTGAGCCCCAGTGCTCCCTCTTGACTGCTTTGCTTGAATTTCCCATGCACATCACTCCCTCCAAAATGACTCTGACACTCAAAATGACTCTGCTCATCCTACAGCAGTCTCCACCCCATGTGTGTCGGTGCCACTGGTGAAGCGAGGCTGGTGTTATCATGCTCATATTTTCTTCAAATCTTGTGGCTCTTATTTCCTGCCACGTGGGATTCATGCCTCAACCTGGCCTTCTCCATGCCTCTTTCCCAGCCCAAGAATCCAGACTGTCATCCCCTCTGCTCACTACCTTTCCATATTCTTTCGCCCTCTGGAACCTTTGATCACTCCAGCTCACACCATCTCTGGACTCTGATTTCATTCCTGCCATTCTGCACAAATTAACATTTACTTTTTTTGTTTCCTGGGTGCTAGTTTTCAGTTTTACTGCTCCAGTCTTGTGAATGGGGTGTTTTTTGAGCCCCTTTGTACTTCAAATAATGCTGGTCATATAACAAGTAACTACTGACTACTTGCTGATCAACACATCAACTTAATCCTAACGTAAGGTTAATCTTGATTTTCCTCATACAAGCCAGTGGCCATATGGATCATCCTGTCCATGTACCATGTCTAGGCAGTAGGTGAGGGAACTACTTCATTTGTGTTTGGACAGTGGCACTCATATTTTGCAGAGAGGTTAGTTTGCATCTCTGCAACAACCTGTTTGTACCTCCATCTTCCTTGTTTTAGTTCTAATACTCTGGCAGCCATCTCCACATGTCCTTTCTCTTCAGAAAGGTCATGATGCCTGGGGAAAGTGGTCGTAGAGGAATTTAGAAAGCAGATGTACAATTCCATTCCTGACAGTAGCAGGTGAAATTCAAATGTATCTTCAATCCTGATTAGAAATGTCAACACAAATTCCCTGTGAAGTTTGAACACAGAAGACAAAAGGCTGTTGAAAACCAAGTGGGATCAACCACATCCTGCCAAAGCGAGTCAGTTTCTCAAGTAAAAAAAAAAGGAAGAAGAGATGACCTCACTTATACTATACCTCCATAGTCTACCCTGTGAGAGGAAGCCATTTTAGCAAGGGTAATTATACTTGGCTGCCAATGCCACACTCAGTTGATCTGTAAAACTGGCTTTGAGATTCCAGCACTATCAACCTTCAAACACTGGCTACATCTACACTGTTCCCTGCAGCTGGGAACCACTGATGTCAATGCCTGCTCTTATTCCACCTTGGGCAGGGCAAGCACAGGCCCAGATGTCCTTTGCTCTGGACTGGAAGCATCAGCACACAAGCCTTCCATACCATACTTGCCATGAGTCCAAGCCACAGTAAACCCATTCTTCAGCAAACTACTATTTAGCTGTCCTATGTACCAGACTACAGCAAAACAAGTCATCCTTCCTATAGTTGGGCAGTATTTCCTGAGACCAGGGTGGAGTACAAATAAACATTAACTTTCTGGTTTTGTCTGTGCCTTTTGTTTGAGCTTGTAGTCACCTTTCCTGCTTTAATACTGAGTAGTACACTGAACCCAGGTTTGCATCAATCCTGCTGTAGAGTTAAGAGACATATAGAGTGGGACCTTGATAAGTGGGGCATCTGTCAACATGGGGAAATTGCAGCTGTCTGTAGTTGTCTACCACTCTGTAAATAATCTCTAATAAACTCATTTTATTTATCAAGATGAACTTAAATGAGTCATTTTGGGGCTTTGGTGCCAATCCCAGTTTGGGGCAGATGTTAATTTTACATCTCCCTGGAAAAGTTTATGTGACACCTTGCAATACATTAAAAAATGGGGATTCAGTTGCTAACCAGGCAGTTGATCAAACTCCTACATCTAGCTAAAAGGACTCTGGTTTGACCACAGGAAACAGACTAGTTATTGAAAATCGGCACAAAGACGAAACTCTAGTAATGAAGAGCAGTAATCTAACAGGGCTGACATTTCTTTACATCAATATGATTGGCTGTTCTCCTCAGGTACCATGTCACCTCTCTCCATACACACCATCTAGTATTGCAGTCCCTCTGGCCTCCCTGAGGTCTGAGTTGGCTGCTGTCTGATTGCTGCTGCTCATCCCAGTCTTACATCCCAGCGGTGAAGAGTGGATGAGCTTGTTAGAATCTAGGGTATGTGTTTGCAGCTCCTCAGATTTCTTTGGCTTTAGAAGCTTCAAGGAGGTGATTAGCTTCCCAGTGGGATCTTTCTGGTGAGAATTAGAGAGCCTGTTAGCAGCAGTCCTTTCTATTTCCTTTTGGAGCCACTGCAGCATGCCACCTGCAGACTAAAGTGATGGCCTGTGGTTGCCTAAATGATCTGTGGTTGGGGCCCAGAGATGCTCACATTTTGCTTTGATGAAACACACAGACCTGAGGGTTTGTGTGGACATGGTTCTGGAGTTCACCTACAGGAATATGTATTTTTGAAGGATTTGACACATGCTCACAGGCACACAGACTTCAGAGTGAAATGTTTTCTTTCCCTATGAGGTTTGTACACAGTAGTTTCCAGTCACCCTAGGAGGAAGTGAACAACGTGAACTCAGGGATAGGGCGCTGAGCTGGTCTGCTCCAGCTTGCATGAGGAGGCACCTGGGAAGACTTGTCAGCGCCACAAAACCTCAGTTGCTCTGAAAGCAGGAGCGCAGACTAGCTCTCTCCAGATCCAGCACAAAAAAAAGAGAGAAATGAGTATTGAAGATAACATTCAGTAATTGTTAATTGTTCTCTATATTTCAAGCTCAGTACTTGAAGGAGATTAGGCCCAAACCCAAGGGCACGTCCTTTTCTCTCTAGCTCTCTGTTCCTAGTCTTTACCCATAGCCATAGAACTCAGCACCTAGAGAGGTGGAACTCTGAAAGCAGGCAGTGCTGGAGCTCTTCCTTAGGCATTATCTTTGTTTCTTGACCCTGTGCTGGACTCAAGTTTGTAAAGAAGCAAAATTAAACACATGCAGGAACTTGAGATCCCCCACCAGGTCAGAGTCCGGCTATCTGTTCTGCTTGCTAGCTGTCCAATTGCATGGCTTCTCGTGTAATAGACTGTCCAGGCTGCTCCTTTAGATACGCTGCCTGCCGTCTTGGTTCTCTTTAAGCAAGGAGCCAGACACCCTGAGCCCTGGTGGCTGGGAAACATGTGGGACCAATGGAAGCCCACCAGGGAAGCCGATCAGGAGGGACCAGGCTGAAAGGGGTGGGGTGAGTCAGGGGTACAGATGAGCAGTGAATCCCTCAATGCAAGCTGCCAGCATCAGCCTCATGTGGCCAGGCGAGGGAAGTGTAATGAATATTCAAGTCAGTCGACGTTCAGAAATCCACATAAATCATTGTGGGGTTCCCCCTATCCTGTGTGTCTAATAACTTGTCTCTGACTAGGAGATCCCTAGAGGTAAGAACTGATCCTTTTCTTTCTTAATCTCTTTCCCCTACCTCCCCTTAGCCCCAGGGCTTAGCATACAGGGTGCTCAGCTGTGCCTCTATCTCATTTGAAGGCTACACACAAGCAAGTACCCCTGTGGTTTTCTGACTTGCAGTTACCCACACCAGCAAAGAGACTCCTGGACCTTGTCCCCTCGCCTGAGTCCCAAGCAGCCTATCCATTTGATACAATGAAGATGTTTCTCCACTTATGGCTGAAGCTCCCACCGAGCCAGAACTACTTCCTGCCCCTATAGTGCTTCACTGACTTTTAGGCAAGACACACTTGGGGCAAAATTAAAAACAAAACACTGTTAAACAATTGTCACCTATTGGAACTTTTCAACAGATGATGTTGGCAAGGCAGAAACGTTTACACTGGATTAAGACCCTGGGATGACTCTATCCTCTCATTCTACACGGAGAAAAGAAAGCTCCTGGACCACTTGGGGCAGAGTGCACGACTCTCCAGCAGCCCAGACCCATACACAGTGACCATGTTTGTGCATGCACCAAGCCCTTTTGTTACAGACATGGCAGGGGACCAAGCATTCCCTGTCCTCATTATACAGTCCTTTGTTTTGTCTGATCCCCACTCAGCCCCACAGGCTCAGATCCCAGCTTGCTTTCCACTGGACATGCATACCTGGCTTTTCTGATTTCCTGCAGGCCAGAGACATGCCATGCAAGGCAGGAATGGGGTGAAGATGAGACCTCTTTCCAAGAGACAAGCGGAGAGCTGGGAATGAGGATGAGATGCCCATGCTTGCAGGGGATGGCAAGGCCAGATCCCCTCTCACCTGTACTGGTCATAAAGGTGATGACGGTACTGCTGATGCCCTCGTTGTCCCGGGAATATACCCGCAATGTGTACGTCATCCCGGGATAGAGGTCTGTCAGCTGTATAGGCTGTGCCTGGGCCTTAACAGGGATAGTTTTTTTCGTATGATTGCCTGGGGAACAGAAACCTTGGTCAGCTCACAACCAGGCACCAGGAGCTGGAGAGAGTCCAGCTGATCATCTGATCATCATCAGTCCCTGATCATCTGTCAAAAGCAGAGAAGTTGGGGAAGGGGAGGGGGGCCATGGGTCCAGCCCACCATACAGATCAGGCAGCTTTCCCATGCCCATCATGCAACTCTTACAAAATGTCCCTTCCTGAGATTTTCTTTCCCATCACAGTCTTAGTGCTAAGCATATAAAAATCTGCTTCCTTAACGTCAAAGCATGTCAGCTGACATGCTGCCCTGGAAGTGACTCAGCTTCTGTGCAGGAGCTTCCAGGACAGCCAGCATGCTAGTTAGTATGGCACAGGGCTACTGGAAGTAAGACAGGGCACAGATCCTAGGCTTTCACTTCACTCCAGGCTTCACTTCTCATTTTGTACCACACTGCAAATTCACACATCATGAAAAGTGCCTGTGTGTCTGGGCTGCAGGAGTGGATGGCGGTGGCTGGAAGCCAAAAACATCCAGTCCTAACTAGTGACTCCAGATTCTGAGACTGTGAACCCCTCCACCAACCACAGAACTCAGTGTTGGTTTTGCATTTTCTAAGAAGTCTTGAGGAGGGGCTAACCCAGCTGTGTTTTCTGGCTGGCCAATTAGCATATAACTGCTTATAGTACATGTTAGAGAAATGTAGGCTAGACCCTGCAGAACTACGGGCCCCTGTTCAGAGAAGGCAGACAGATATTCTGGACACATGCTATAGTTCACTCAGTTTCTGGTCTCAAGATCTGATAAAGAGCGCATGGCTCAGCTCAAATCACTGGCTCTCTGGTCTGTTAGTTTGTGTGACTGCAGCCCAGCAGAGCTGTGGCTCAAGTCTATGCACTGGATCATTTAGTAGTGGCATCATAACACCTAGAGTCTCATCAGCAGATCAATAGTCACTTTAGGATACTCAGAATCCTTATTCTGGGCAGGAGTGGACACAGGGTCCATTCCATAGGCCTTCCACAGCACATGCAACCTGAGGCCTTTGCTAATGGCTTCAGGCATCCCTTCCGCCTTGTCTCCTACCTCTGCAGACCCTGGTGGGTATCAATTTCATGAGACTACAATGAAACCAGGCTAAAAAGCCTCAGAGCCTGGGAGAGTTCACAGGATCTCCTTAATGGGTATCTATCGCTAACCACCTCTGCTGCACCACTGCTGCCACCCCCACCCCACATAGCAATGCTTACTGTCGATGTACTCAACCACAAAGTCAGTTCCGGGCCTGAAATTGTGCTTCCAGGTGATGTTGGCCCATTTACTGTTGGGGAGCACCGTGACGTTCCAAATGGACTGCTCACCGGGGGCTGGTGGACGGGTTAGAAGAGGAGTTAGTGGTGAGGAGGGAGGTAGTACAGGAGACTCGAGGAGGCACATACACACATGTGCACACTCTCTCACAGAGTCAGCTTGGAAAGGGAAGAGTCAGGAACAGCTGTGCACAGGGGCCCGACAGAGCTGCAAGCTGCAGCCTTGATGGCCAGGCCAGAAGTAGCTACCCAGGGCCGAGCAAGAGCAGTCAAGGGGCTTGTCCACATAGAAGGAAATCAAGAAGCTGTCTCGCACTCCTCACATGATGGGGTTAGGAATGAGAATGAGTTCTCAGTCATATCATTTGAGGCTCTAACCTGAATTCATTCCATTTTTGGACCACTTGTCATGAGTTTGAACAGTGCAAGGCAAGGGACCAGGAAACAGCCCCCATGGTCAGAGGGAGAGAGGCAAAGCTTTCTCTCTTCAACAGGAAGGAGAGGGGTTGCCTTTGAAAATTAAGCAGGCAGGTGTGGGGATGTGGCTCAGTGGCCAGTTGTTTGCTTTGCATGTGGATTCTATCCCCAGTACTGACAAAAGAAAATCATGCAAGAGTCATAATAAGACAGCAGGGAGGATGGGTCTAAGTACAGGAAAACTACTGAGCTTCTGAAGCTAGAGAATATAATCCAGACTGAGAACTCTGATTTGAGGACCTCTACAGTTGCTCTTGGTTGGCGAGAACCTGGATGAGTCATACCATGGCCTTGATTGTCTAAGGGACTTGGGCCTAGAACCTCAGGATCCCCTCTCCCTGTCATGGGCTAGATGGGACCAAAAGAAGACAAGTCTTTTTTAACCCCTCAGTGGTCTGCATTCCAGAAGAACCCTGTTTGTTAGCTTCTCAGCCCCCAAACCATTGAGGCTTGATATTGCAACAAAGAGGACATTACTTAATTAAGAGCATTATCTAGCTACTGTGGGCTGGGAGCCACTTTATCAAAGCCACAGTGCTGTCTGAAACCATACCCTTTGTACAGGAGAATGGCACCAATCTTCAAATGTAATCAGTTTTCAAGAGTCCCAGAAGTCTGCTTACTACATTTCCTAGCAAAGATTTAGTAGTGGAAGACTAGCATGAGGCTTGTAGTTCAAAGGCTTTACAAGCATGGTTCCTGTATATTTAATTAGTATGTAAGAGGGTACTGTCACCAACTCACTTGTCAAACATAAATGAATAGAGTGTAGTGCCAATGCATTTATTCATTATCTGTTTGACATGTGATTGAGTCTGCAGGGCTGGGGAAGTGATAAAAGATTTCCTGATTTTCACTTCAAAGAAGTGTCTTTTCTACTGCAGTCCTGACAGGTGTTTGTTGCCCCAAGTAAATACAGTGTGAGGACCCCCAAGAAAGAGGTTCCATTGACGGCAGCTTTTTGCTGCCTGGGAGGGAGGGCAGGCAGGTTTCTTCACTTATCTTCTGGCTGTTCCTTTTTTATTGTGCTGGGTGTTCTAGCCCTCTCTAATTCCCTCTCCCTGGAAGTTAACAGCCCCTCCTACTAGGAATGAAGTATGATTAGCCACGATTTAGGGACCTTTCTTCCTCCTTAGCTCCAGATTCTGTTCAACAGCTAGAGAATCTGTGTTTAAACAGCTTGACCCCCAAAGTAATACTGGCCCAAATCTGATAGTCTCCAAGGGAATGAAGATTGCGTTGCTTTTAGACAGGCTAAGCAGGGGTTGGGGAGATGGCTCAGTGGGTAAACTGTTTGTTGTGCAAGCTAGATAAACTGAGTACAGATCCCCAGAATCCAAGTAAAAAGTAGTAGCTCAAGTGTCTGAATACTAGACCAGGAGATGAGAGGTTGATAAGCCTGCAGCCCAGTGTATGCAGCAGTGAACAAGAGACCTTGTCTCAAAACGAGGAGAGCAAGGCCTGCCACTTGAAGCTGTTCTTTGATCTTTACGTGCACACCATTGCATGTGTGCCTGTATACACACACACACATACACACACACACACACACATACACACACACAATCATACATACACACAAGAAAAGGCCAAGCAATGGGAGACCAAAATGATGTAGAGGTGGGCATTGGACAGAGGCAGTGTCATACAGAAAGGCCAAGATGATAAGCACTAAGGAACTGGAAGGTTGGGGCTGGAGAGATGGCTCAGTGGTTAAGAGAATTTGCTGCTCTTGCAGAGGTCCTGGGTTCGGGTCCCAGCACCCACATCATGGAGGCTTATAATCATCAGTTCCAGGGGATCCCATGCCCTCCTCTGGCCTCCTTGGGCACCAGGCACATATGTGCTGCATATACATACATTCAGGCAAAACACCCTTACACATAAAATAAAGGGCCAGGTATGATGGCACACACCTTTAATCCTAGCACTTGGGAAGTAGAGGCAGGTAGATCTCTGTGAGTTTAAGACCAACCTGGTCTACACAGCAAGTTCCAGGTTAGCTGGGGCTACAGGGAGATACTGTCTCAAAAATTAAAAAAAAAATCTTAAAAAAGACCCTGAGAAATTGAAAGGAAGGACCAAGAAGGTGAGCTGTTTGAAACTTGGAAGTAAAAAAGGGGGTGTGAAAAGCACACACTGTTCACTGACTCCCGGCATGGAACAGCCCCCAAGTTGTAAAAGGCACAAAAGTTACCCTGAAAAAGAAAAAGTATAAAACATTTCATGTTAAGGTATTAGACATGGGGCTAGGGAGATGGCTCAGCGGTTAAGAGCATGTAATGCTCTTGCAGGACTGGAGCTCACTTCTCAGCACCCATATAGGGCAGTTCACAGCTGCCGGTAACTCCAGCTCCAGGAGACCTGACACTCTCTTCCGGACTCCGAGGGCACCTGCACTGATTCACGCACAACCCCCACCCCTAGATACACATGTATACACATAATTAAAAAAAGAAATCTTTTTATATAAGACACAGTAAAGATGAAAATTCATTTAAAAGATCCTGGGTTGCAGAGCCGTCCTGCTGAATCAAGGGAAGCTGGAATGTTTTTCAGGGGCCCCAAGCTCTCAATAACACTGGGCCTATGACCAGGCTCTCTTCAACATCTCAGACATGGTCTACACTTAAGGTTTGAGCATAGAGCCAGTCCTGCCTGATCTAAGACTGATGTTTCTTGGTTAGTGATTGCCAGGGAGCAAGATTCACTGTTTCTGAATTTTTGGCTCATCTCTGCTGTGAACTCAAAGTACTTCTAGGATTCAAACCCCTGCTTTGCTGGAAAAAATGCCTCACTATTGCCCAGAAGATAGCAGCCCCTAGTCCCTGATAGCAGCTCTAATAGTGTAGAAAGTGTCTCCTGGGTTGACTTTTCCCTAAATTTCAAATTGTTTACATTCTAGTATTGCTCTGAAGCAAATCAGCATTTCTAAGACCTGAGCAGCACGTCAACCAGGCGTCATCACCTGCCTCTGCTTATGGATCACTCAACACCATGCAACTGAGCTTAGAGAAAATACTAAACAGAAGTGTCAAGCTTCCATCTATTATTCAGGGCTGAGAAGTGAGTGGGAGGTAGTGAGGCTGGGAGGGTGGAGGGACTTGCCTAGGAAGTTGAAGTCTTGAAGGCTGAGGGTCTATGATTCTCCTGATGGGAGAACATTCTAGGTGCTTCTTGCCAGTCTTGCTGGCTGTTTCATGCTGTTTTTATAGTTGGCCTGTGGGCCCAGGAAGTTAGAGATCTTTCACTTAATAGAAGACTGATGCTTGGTCAGAAATGGCAGAATACTCCAAGGACCTCCTTATGCTCAAAGAGGAGGGCTGCCTAGCTTGGCTGTGAGGTGCAAGCCAGCCCTAGAACTCCTGCAGCTTTCCCGCCACATATGCATTTGGGAGTTTGGGGGACAAGGGTGGGAAGAGAGATGGGGCACTGCTGAGCACTGTGTGCGACCTGGCAATACCATTTCCTGCATGTTCTGACCTTAAAAAAAAAAAAAACCTGTAAAAATTCCTTAGGGGCCGAGGGGCAAGGAAGAGGCAGGCGTTCCAGGGACAGAGCTGTCATGGCAGCCACTCCCTGCTCCTCCTTCCAGCCTCTATCCTTGGAGGACAGACATGCTAGAGCCAGCAGCTCAGTTGGTCAGATGCATAGCATGCCAGAACCTTCTTTTCCTCACAACCTCTTTTCCTGAGTGCGCAAGTCCTGAGATTACTACTCTGCTGAAGTATGGGAAGGGCTGAAGCTGGCATAAGGTGGTGGATGACTACCGAAGGAGAGAGCTTGTGTGCTCAGGATGGGGATTCTGGGCCCCTAGGTTATGGACTTGATGAGTTTGCAAAGTAAAACAGGATGGGACTGGTAAACAACACCCTAGAGCCCACCACTCAGCTAGAGGAGTCTGGGTTTGTCTTGAGAAGCTGGGAGGTGGGCTCAGAGGGGCCAGGAATGTGGTGTTGTGCAATACCGGTTTCTGGAATCTTAGTCCTGGTGGTGGTGGGAGGGCTCTCCGTGGTGGTGGTGGTGGTGGTGGTGGTAGCAGCAGTGGTTGTAGTAGTAGTGGCGACGGTGGTGGCGATGGTAGTAGGTACGACAGGTGGGATGGTGGGGACTGTTGTGGCTTCACTGGTAGCAGCAAGAGCAGTAGCATCGGTACTACTCACAAGGCCTGTGGCACCCACAGTAGTCTGGGGCAACGTGGGAGGAGCTGAGAGGGAAACGTGAAATATCCGAGTCTGGTTGGTTTGGCAGCACCCAGCTGGCACACCCGGCCCCCACGTGCAAGGCAGGCAGCCGGTAGGGAGATGAGATCAGAAGTCAGAGGCCTCCCCAAGCATCCGCACTGGCCCATGAGGACCCCAGCCAACCGATGCACAGCCATGGGAGAGGAAGAGAATGAAGCGGGTGTGTGTTTCATTTTCTTCTCATGGTCTGTGTAGCTCGAAGCACTCGGCATGCACCCAGCCAGGGATGAGGATGGTGGGAGAGGGAAACACACACTGAATCACATGGACTGCAGGGATGGCACAGAATTTAGGCCACACTCCATCCACACAGTCCCAGAAGTACCAAGTGGGTCCAGTCCTGGAGTCTCAGCTCATATGTGGACAGGTGGCTGAGCACTGTCCTGTAGGGACATAGAGTAGCCTACCACTCCCAGCCCCTCTCTCTGAAGTTCCCCTTTGTCATACCTGATTTAGTTTTGTTCTTTCCCCTGCCTCGCCCTCTGCCTACTGGTGACCTTTCCTGCAATTACCCTGTCCAAACTTCTAGTTCTGTCTTTGTAGGAAACTTAGTGTCCATGCATACCAAGTCCTTCCTGCTCACATCAGAACATGAACAAATGGATGAGTGTGGCCTGCGATTGGCAACCACAGCCTTTGGACACAGAAGACCTACAAATGCCAGTGGCAAAGGAGCCCTCCCTGCCAGGTGCCCTCTCTGCAGAAATCTTCATCTGAGGCACAGCCAAGTTCAGATCTGGGCTCACTCACCTATACTCCACCTCCACCCAAAGCTGACTTCTGACATTAGTCAATTCTGGGACCTCGGCGATACATGGGCAACATTTTCACAGCCTTCTTCCTCTATGGAAGGGGTGGAGAAGTTGACAAAGTGTTGCTTATCCTTATTCTCCAGGTCAGGACTTGTTAGGAGTCAATAATGTGAGAAGGGTGATGGGGCAAATCAGAGCGAGTACAGCTCTCTTTCCTCCTGCCTCACCTTCACCCATGGATCTGACCACCCTCCATTTTCTGGTGTTGGCAGTAGGTAGGGACCTTATCACATAAGTAGTAACTCTAACTTCTAAGGAATACTGATATCCCTCTCCGTCTCAAATCTCCAGAAATCCTGAAAAAAAAAGAAAACCAAAAAACCCTGTCTCTGCCATCCCCATAGAAAGAGGCCAGGGACAGAAGCCAGAGAAACCTGCCAGAGAACTGTTGTAGGGAGAATCAAGATCCTAAGCCCAAGCTGTTCCAACCAGAACCTGACCAATAAAAGCTATTTCATTTCCTAGTCTCCAATGCCCCTATAGAGAAAGGGCATATTTTTGAGGTCCCTGAAGTGTCCCTACTTGATCAGAGATCAGAGGTATTACTAGGCCTTGAGGGAAGGGACCACAGAAGTCACACTGGAAGATGACTGTCCTTTTAATTCCCCCCAATGCAAAGCAAGTTCAAAGTCAACAATGCTGTTTTCCCTGAACTCCAGTCAACTTTCAGGTACTGAGAAGGCATGGGGAAAGCTGGGGAGGGGAGAAGCCTTCCTCTCATAGTCTCTGTTCAGGGCTGTGTTCAGCTCAAGACAGCCTCAGGCCAGAATGTAAACTCAGTGCTCCCAACATTCAGCATGAAGGGGTTCGCCTATCCTACCCACAAAGGTGCTCACGGCAGCATGAATTCGCAAACAGAAGAGCAGAGAGACCCCTGAGTCAAAGGTCAGCTGTCCTAGGGTGGTCTGCAGCCTCTATGACCCTCCCTGGTCACAAGCAGAGGAGATTTTGTCCCTCTGGGCTAGACAGCTCTCTTAGTTCCTTATAAATAATGCAATTTCTAGTACTTTCTGGAAGACTCAATGTTCACAGCGTCCTCTTTTCTGTAACTGTCTAAAAGGTGTCATTAGAAAATACTCCTTGTAACTTGAATCACCCTGCATTACATATCCCAGGGACTTGGACTTCCCTTCCCTTGGGGACCACGGCTGTGCATTTCCCAGGTCCCTTGAATTCAAGCCCATTTTTCCCAAAGCTTTCTTGTGACTGCTTGTCACATATACATGCTCATACCTCTCCCTTCTCTCAGGGATGCACACTTCCCAGGGAAGTCCAGCAGGTGCTCTTGGGACAGAAATGCTAAGAAAGGTTAGAGTGGGATTCCCACTTTGTTCAGTTGGGACCACGGCTGTGCATTTCCCAGGTCCCTTGAATTCAAGCCCATTTTTCCCAAAGCTTTCTTGTGACTGCTTGTCACATATACATGCTCATACCTCTCCCTTCTCTCAGGGATGCACACTTCCCAGGGAAGTCCAGCAGGTGCTCTTGGGACAGAAATGCTAAGAAAGGTTAGAGTGGGATTCCCACTTTGTTCAGTTGCTCAAAGACAAGGGTGAGAAATGATTGGATGCTTCTACCCCATCTTCCCCTCTTCTGTCATTCCTGCCAAGTATGAAGGAAGCAGTTCTCTGTGATAGTACTTGGCTGGTTCCCCTTGGGTTCTGGGGCAAGTCTCAGGGTATTAGTGAGAAGGAGAAAGAGTGAGAGCAGAAGCTACTGTTTGGGCAGCACTCAGGGTGCCTGCCAGTGGGCTTCGATAGAAGGTAGAATCTCAGACAGCTGAAGCCACAGCTGGTGAAATCAGCATATCCTCTGACCCACTCATTGCTGTGTCTGTTGTCTTCAGGCTGGACAGGGTCACAGGTGATTGGGAGGGTAGAGGCCAGGAGGAAAGGCACAGTAGCCAGTAGGGAAAAATGTCAGAAGGCCAGGCAAGAGATAAACTTCCCACAGGGCAATCCATCTACTGCTCAGGACAGTCAGAACATTTTAACTTGGAACAGAGTTGAGGAGAGGCTGCAAGGGTGGTAAGCCCTGAAGTGGGGCTGATATAAACAGAGGGGACCATGTGCTAGGCAGACACATTCCTGGCCTAAGATGTCACCTCTAGCCACAGCAGGAACTATGGGTTTGGAAATAGTCCTGGTTGGTGCTGAGTGGAGACTGTAGCTGCAACCTAGAGGGAACAATGACTGTCAAGTACTTAAGAGGGGTTAGGGCAGTCTAGAGCTGGAAGCCCAAAACAGAGAGGACCAACCCTACAGGCTGCCTAAGGCCCCAAGGAAGGCGCCTAACTATGGCTGAGGGACTTGAGAGTTTGGTGGAGCACCGTGTAGGAAAGGGAGAAAAATCAAGGAGAGAGGACACATCTTCATTTTCTTGTCCTCCTAAGCCTGCCACAGAGCTGAGCTCCTATAAGAAACCCACCCAACATTTTTGGATCTGAGCTGACTCAAAGACAAGAAGAACAACTTCCAGACATTCCAAGGGGATTGTTCAGTCCAAAATTGTCCACATGGCGTGCAGACTGCCCCAGCCAAGTCCCAGATTGTTAGACAGATGGGCACAATCCTAGCAGCATGAGGATACGGGTGGACAGGAGCGATTATCATCACTGGCTGAGATGTGAACAGATCAGCTTGGGAGAAAGTGCCGAGGTTTGAGAGGATGAGAAGGAAGAGGGTGTGGCTGGACACCGTGACTGTTGAAAATACAGATCTGCGCTCCACTACCTTAGCAGTTGCACAGAGGCACTGTGTATGCAAAGCTGAGAATATCTGATAATATTGGCATGTCTCAGATACTAAAAAGTACAATCTGCCCCTTACCAGTGTGCCATGTGGAAGTTGGAGCCTGGGAAACACACTTGATTGATGGCAGAAACCCTGGCCCATTCTGCATAGCGTGAGTTTAGATCTTTTAAAAATAGAAGTGGGAGGCTTGGGTTGGCACCTGTCACCCCTCTCGAAACTGCAGTTCACAGGAGGATATCACAGACTGCCACAGATGCCCCTTCCTGCTGCTGGGCCCACCTACCTTAGATCTAGAGTGCCAAAATGGGGGAGAGAGACAGGCAGATGCTTGACCAATGAGTTCTGAGCTGACTTGCCTGTGCCTTCCCTGAGCTTGTCCCAAGTAACATGGCAGAAGAGACTCACATGCAAACACGAACCAGGGAGTCAGGGGAACCCTTCCCTCCGAGGTGGCAAGATTCGCTTGCTCTCTAGTCTCTAGGCCTTGGACAACTTCTGTGTCTCTTGTCCTATTAGAGGACTTCAGGCCTGTGGGGAGGCACTGGCCTGGCTATGGGGGGGGCAGGGGGTGGAGAGGGTTGCTGTGGGAGGGAAGAGCTGTGGCTGCTCATATGAAACAAAACATTTGAAAACAGAAGGAAGGAAGGTATGCAACAGAAACAGAATCAACCTAGAAAGGGAGTAGGTGGAAAAATAAATGTGCACAGGTGAGAAGGAAACCAAGTTAGGCAAGGTGGTGTCCTGTATCCACAGCAAGTCTCAGCTTCCTGCCTGGCTCCTGGTTCTCTCATCTAAAGTTTGCTTTCTCAGGGAGCCTGCTTACATAGGCTATGATGAGCCCCGGTTTCCAGCCTTTGTACTGCCAGGTAAGTTCTGTCCTCAGGTCCTGTCTAATGCGAAAAGTCAGGCTCAGAGGACCAGGAAAGGAACCTTGGGCCCCTTGCCTAGTTTCACTGGCTTGGGAACAGCCCTTCTGGTAGAGCCCTTTGATGGTCCTCAAACCCATGACATGAAGACTGAAGGAGGAGCTTCTAAGCAGAGCTATCTGCCCAACTCCTGGCTTCTGTTCAGTTCTATGTCTCAGCTTCTGAGAGTGGAGGTCATTCTTAACATGGAAGACTAAAAAACTGAGCTTCTGTGGGGCAAGGGAATGATTAATTCCCAGCACCCAGTGAGACTCCAGGTCCTGAAGCATCGCTCCTATCCACAAACACACTTGCTTGTTCTTGCTGACCAGAACATATGCTAGCTGATGGAAGAGTGCTGGGCTCCCCATGCAGCATGCAAGGTCAGCATGCACAATTTGCTCACCCTTCCAGGGGATGGTGGCCTGACCAGTGGACAGAGGCCAGCTATCCCTGATCCTGCACACCTCCTAGGGCTACCTCTATGCTTGGAGAGGTCAGGTCCAGCAAGGGCCTAGGTAGCCACGGTAGGTAGCTCAGCTTCAGTGGAAACTGACTCCAGAACAGCTCAGGGATGTACATGTGAGACTCCTCCTAAGTCAGCCTCCTCAGCAGGGGCAAAGGTTAGGTGAAGGGGGAAAACATGCTAATCTCCTCTAGCCCATGCTCCACATGCACCTTCTGACCAAGTCTAGCTTCTCCTCTGAAAGGGTGAGCCTGGGGCATGCTTTCAGCCCACACCTCTCCCTCTTGCTGGGCCCTCGCCAGTCTGGGCTCCACCTGCACTACCCCATGCCATGCCCATTACCTCTGTTGCTGGTACAGTACCTGCAGTTGGAGTGGCTTCAGACACAGCACCCAAGATGGCCAGAGAAGGGGAGAGAGGACGAGAGAGGGAAGAGAAAACAGCATAGGTGAAACCACAGAAGAAAGCAGAGAAGGTCTGGCTCAAACCTGACTCCAGTGGTGTGGCCAGGTGCTAGTTGCAACTTTGAGGATGCTAAGTGGTGTTCAGGCGTCATTGTCAACCCCACTGGAGTCAGACAGATTCCTATCTTACCATTTAGGGTTTGGAGGCTTTTCTAATACACTCTGCTTCTATCCCTATTCAAAGACTAGCCATCTAAGAGATGGCAGCAGGGACAATTCACCTAGGATGTCAGATCCCCAGCTCTTTCTCCAAGGGTATATTCTACCATGGCTAGGCTGGGTGACTCTAAGATGCCAGGAACTGAGAATGTAGGAATAGGTGATGCAGGAGGAACCAATTCCAGGCCCCCCCCCCCGGCTCAAGTATCTTCATGTCAAGGTGCTGGGTAGTACTGGCTAGGGGACCCTCCCCATCACAGACTTACAAAGTACGATGGCTTTGAAGGTGCTGGAGCCCTGAAGCCCCTGACTTGACATTATGCTGCCTCAAGTAGTTATACTTCATGAAATTAGCATGAAGAGCTTTAAAACAAATCTCTGAATTTCCCACAAATCTGAAACATCTTTGTTCTGTTGTTCCCTGGAGCTGCAGAACTTCCCCTGCTGTGGTCTCTAAAGATAGCCAAAGGGATTTTATCTTCTGTCTTGTGTTAGGTGAAGAGGCTCTACGTTTATCTCCAGATGGGAGTAAGTGTACTAGAACCTGGCACTGTCTGGTAACAGGTTGCATCAGATGCTTACCCAGAGTCCACCATCCCTAATAAGCCTCCTGAGTGTCCAGTGGTTGGAAAAGGATACTAGGATGGGGAGTTTGTTGTGTGACTACTTCTGCTCTATAAAACCAGAGAGGGACACAGAGGAATGACAGTCTTCTTCAAGCTTCTGCTTGGGTGCTGGCCTACTAGCCAGAGAGGGATGCAGGGCTGCTGATGTGGTTGCATAGGGAGCCTGGGCTGAGGCAGCAGGACCCATCAGCCCCTTTGGAAAGCATGATGCCCTCCTGGGATTGGGGAGTGGGAGATGCTCAGAAGACCCCGCCACAAGACCTGAACTTCCTGGGGGAAGAGTACTAGACGTACTTATGAGGTAGTTCCAGGAATTTCTATTCATATTATCTCCTTTCTGGAGTCCCCTTTACATAATGACCACCCCCCACCACCTGCCCACTAAACTTCTTCCACCTAGGCATGCAATCAGACATTCTTAGATGTCTCTAGACACGTGAACTTATTACCTTTGTGTTCTTTGTTTCTGGTGCAGTGTCTGGCACAGCACATTGTGGGTGCTCAAGGATGGCTGGTGTATAGGCCACCGTACCTCTGGAGAGGCAGGGAGTCTCCACCTTTTTACTAGGGGTTACCAATATTGAGGTTTTTGCAATCTTGCATCTCTGGGAGGTTATCACAGAAGCCAGAACACATGCGGGTGTGCCTAGAGCGCCCTCTGGTGTAGTGTTAAGGCAGGCACAGCTCCAGAGAGGTATGCTTAGTGCCAGGACTTAGGGTGAGTTCACTTGCTCTTTGGAAGCTGGCTTCGCAAAGGGCTGTTTCCCATCTCCCACTTCTCTCTGCAGCCAAACACCTCATCTTATTCAAGCTGCCAGGGGAGAGCATATTTCCTGCTCTACTCTTGATCCAAGCAAGCAGCTTCAACTGTGGCCTTTCCCTACCTCCTTGGTCCTATATGCCCTTTGCAAAAGAGGAGATTCTCCCAGAGTCCTCATGGAGGACTCTCGGTAATATTCTTGCCTCCCTCAGTAGATGAGCAGTTTGACTCTAGTTTGGAGTTCATCAGAGCAGTTACTTACCATATGCTTCTCCTCATCTCTCAACTTTTTCTTATTTCTTTCTCTACAAGGAAAGATGGCTGATACTGAGTAGCTGAGCAAGTCAAGGCAAAGTGGAGGACCAGGTTAGCATTTGCCTACATGTCTACAGAGTGCTGACTTTTTCAGATGCAGCACCACTACCTCTCAGCACCAAGATATAAGCGATCTCCTGTGGTGGGCCTGAGGACTTGAGGCCTCACTTCCTCTCCATCAGGGAAGGTTAGGTCCAGCTCTCAGGGTGTTTCTCTAGGTGTCCAAATTAGCTGGGGCTTTTCACCCTAGGGCCTGGTGCCATGGACCTACCTTCATTCGGAGGTGCTGGAGACTCCTCTGTGATTGCTTCCCCAGAGCCCACCTGCGTCCTGGCGCTGAGGGTGAAGCGGTAGCGTGACACAGGGTCTGCTCTCTGCATGGAGAACTTGGTCTGATTGGGAGAGAAGTTTTCCACCATCTGCTTTCCCACTTTGGTTCCATTAACTGAGGAGAGAAGGAGGTGGGTGGTTTAGTAACTGCATGGGTTATGTAATCTGTAGCTGGGACCGATTCCTGACTTTCTAGAAAGGGAACTGTGGCCCCTGGCTGGAAATCTTCAAGGCTTAGTTTGAAGGCAGGGTGCTGGGCAGGAACTCCCTCAGCCTTTGATTGCATTCCAGGGCTAACACTTGTTACTGAGCCCACTGTTTCTAGCTTCTTGCAAGTCATGTGGCCAGACTGAAAGATTAGGCTTATGCTTCTCAAGTTCTCTGACAAGGAAAAAAATCTCTTGAGTTCTTCTGCTCAAACAGAACTGGGGTAATCCCCTGGGCTTTTAACTGTTATTGCCTCTTTTGTAAAAGGCCACATTCAATACATCAGCAAAAGGATCAGGCTCAGAGGTCAGAACAGCATAGTTGGCACACAGTTGGCTATTAGGTGTTAACAGCATGACAGTGGCCCTTTGAGCATTCCAGTGAGGGCAGCATTGCCCCCCCCCCACCCCCTTTTTTTGGTCTTTTGGAGTCAGGATCTCCCTGTAGCTTGGGGGGAGGGGGCTGGCCAGGAACTCATTATGTAGATCAGGTTGGCCTTGCTCTCACAGAGATCCATCTGCCTCTACCTTCTGAGTGCTGGGATTAAAGGTGTGTGCTACCACTCCCAGCTTTGCCTCCACTCTTAAAGCTTTTCAAGTGTGAAGACACCCCTGTTCCCACATGGTGAGCTCTGGAGGTGAGGACTGCCTGACTCAGATCCCACATTTAAGTTACTCCTAAGGTATCTCCTGAACATTTGTTCCTGTCCACATATTACCCATCAGATAGAAGCACCAATGGGTGAGGAATTCTCTGGCCTAGACTTGTAAGTGTTGGAGACTACAAGTTCCCCAAGGGCTGGGGCTATTTCTCTCATTAGACCAGAGGGTTCTTTGTCTTACCCACCAGATTAGAAGCTCCTGCAGATGAAACTTTGTAAGGAGAGCAAGGATTGGGTCTCACCTACTTCCTCTAATTATGGGGAACTTTCCCATGGTCCCTCTGCAATGCCCTCTGAAACTATAGGCTTCCTATCTCCATCTCTTAGGATGATGACAAAGGGTTTGTGATTCCACATGATTCAGAGAAAAAGCAAAAAATTGAACATACAGGCAACATATTTGAGAGTGTATCCAATCAGGATCCCATTGGGGTGTTCTGGGTGATCCCACTCCAGGTTGATGGTCTCCAGGTTCGGCTGCCGGACTCTGAAACGCCTGGGGGCACTGGGTACTTGGGGAAGGAGGGGGAGCGGGGGGGATGAGGAGAACATAGAAAACAAAGCACAGGCATGAAGGCATGACCTCGGGCACTCCCATGTCGGACCACTGCTGAACCAGACCCTAGAACCTTGAGGGCAGCGCCTGCTGCCTGCCAGGATGTGCTTCCATGTGGTATGAGGCTGAGCAGGCTTAGATCCTGCTGCTGAAGTGGGGAAGAATTCAACTGAGTTTTCCTTTAACAACTACCATGGACTTGGCACACATTAGGCTCTGATGCTGCAAATACACCTCTGAACCGCAGAGCCATTTCCCAGTTGGGGAACTAATCAAAGCTGTTTTGTGGTGAGGGTGCAGTTCCCAGACCCCAGCCAAGGGTTCTCACCACTGGGTGCAGCAGCAGGCCCCAGCTTCTGGGCTGAGAATGTGGGGTCCAAGGGGGAAGAGAAAGAGACCCAGGACAGAGCACCTGGAAGAGGGTGGGAGTGATGGGTAGAGGCTGATGATGAAAACCAAACGGAGGAGGAGGGAGAGACAGGGATAAAGAAAACAAGAGGGAAGAACAAAGGAGAAGAGAAAGGAGGAAGAGAAGAAAAATGGGAAATAATAGTTAAGGAGGGAGGGAGGAGAGGCAGAGCCAATGCCAAGTGGATAAAAGCCTGTGGGAACAGAGATGAACAAAAAACCTTGTAAATGTTGGGACCCTAGGGTGAGATGAAGCCATAAGCCTGCAGGAGGCTGGGTGACACTTGGCTGTACTCTACACAGGCTGTCTCTCCTTGAGTGTTTCTTGGTGCTGTGAGAGGCTTGTGCAGGTCTTGGGTGCTGGTAAGCAGGACATCGAAGTAGCCAGATGCATGTGTGGCCTTCACCTTGGAGATGTTGGGGCAGCCCAGGCCCGGTAGTGCTTTGGGGGTCAGTCTGCATAGCCTGTGTCTAGAATGCCACAGGCAGACTTCACAGGTCTCTTGAGATGCAAGCTCCCATCAGGGCAGGTCACCTTGGTGATAGTTGTCAGCTTGCTGAGGTCACTCATGCTGTCCATGCCAAGCCATGCTGGAGCTGCTCCAGGATCACCTAACCCACCCTGAAGAGCTGCAGGTCAGACCTACCTCCTTCTGGGGTGGTGAACTCCTTGGTTTCGCTGCGAGGCCCATCGCCTCTCCCATTGACCACAACCATCTCCAGCTTGTAGTTACTGTAGGGGAAGAGGTGGGCCACCACTCCCCGGGGGCGGTCACCAGGGAAGCTGGCTTGCTGTCTCTTCTGAGACACCCACAGGTTCTTCAGCAAGCTGCTTTCCCTCCAGTAGTAGGCCTTCGAGATAGAGGCAGGCTCGTGAGGGCCCAGGCAACAAGGCCAGGTTAGTGGTTAGTGGTGGTAGTGACTGGTTTTCCCTTTGCTTGCTACTAGCTCCCAGTCTCAAATGACCTCATCCACCCCACACAGGGTGGCGGAGCAGCCTTACAGTCCTCACTCATTAGCCACTAGTGAATATGAATGAGGGTGAACATGAAGCAGGGTTGTGGTTTCACTTATTTTCAGAGCCACGCCACCTCTTTGGGCAATGGGTGAATTGGCCAAACTTACATCTGAGCTGCTCCATCATGAGACTTATTTCCAAGCTGGATAACATGTTGCTCAGGGAGTCCATGCCAGAACCACAAATGTGTGCCAGGGGTCCTGGTGCAGAAAGCTGTGCCTTGTGCTCAAAGACCACCTCACCTTGAGTTGGATTAGTGCAGTTTAAGAGGGGCAGCAGATGGGCACCCAAGGAGCAGGTTGCCCTGGTCAGAATGTGAGCAAAGGTTGATTTAATTCTTTGAAGCTAAGTGATTTCTTTTCATGTTGTTGAAGACCTTTAGAGACGGCAGACACACGTCCAAGAGACAATCAAAAGTCCAAGACAGTGGGGTACAAGGCTGCACAGTAGCAGAGTTTGGCTGGGACAGGATGGCCTTGGAGGGTGGTAGTGGTGCAGGGTACAGTGAAGGTCTGATTAGCAGTGGGTGAGAAGCCACAGGACAGCTTGTCACAGCGGTGTCACCAGCAAGGTAAGGAAGAAGTTCAGACTCATGGAGTCCAGGTAGGACTTCAGTCAGAAAAATCTCCAGGCAAGTAGGTTAAGGGTTAAAGTTAACTGTGGGGGAGGAGCTAGTTCAATTGCACCTGGCTTTCCTTTCCTCAGTTCATTGCCAAGTTCATTTCCCAAGAAGGGACTGACCCCTTCTTTCTGTCTCTGACTGTCCATTAGCCAACTCTAGATGACCTCAGATGCCACAGATCCAGTGATAAGCCATGGTTCAACCCTCTTTCACTGCCCAGTCAACTGAAATGCAGCTACCCTCCTGCAGAAAAGTCCTGCACTCCCTTCTCCCCACCTTAGCCCAGCCCTTCAAGGATGGATAACTGGGCAAAAACTGTTCCCAAGCAGAAAGCACAAGAAGCCAGGGCCTTCATAACCCATGAGTAGGGTAGAGAATTGGCTGTGACGCCAGGGAGGGCGCGTGCACCCCTTCAGTGGCTTTGCCTGTTAGCATGCTTTTTGGAACCAGGCTGGGGGAAGCAAATAGCTCAGCAGGGGCCCCTGAGGGGAAAAGTGTTCAGGTGCTGCAACACTGCACATGAAGATACATGTATGTATGACAAACACATGTGCTGTTCAATGCTAGCTCAAACTCAGCACCCTTCCCAGGGGTTGTTACTGAGCAGGGTCTTTCAGCGCATCAGGTATATATACGCATAATGAGTAGGATGATGCTCCTGTCCGTAAGCACATATATATGACAGTGCTCCCATGAGATTCTAATGGAGTTGAAAAAGTCCTATCACATGATGGTACTGTAGCCATCATAATGCCATTCTGCAGTATATTACATGTGTGGTGATGCTATATAAACAGACCTGCTGAGTATAGCACACACAATTATGAACAGTATGTAATCTTGATAATAAACATCACTAGGTTACTGGTCTACATATTTATGATACTATACTTCTTGTCCTTACTTTATGGTTTTGTTATGTTTTTGCAGTGCTGGGGATTGAACCCAGGGTCTCATGAATGTTAGGTGAGTTCTTACCAATGAGCTATGGCCCCTAATCCCTCTTTTATATTTTATATCCTTCTACTATTTATAAAATACAGCTTACCATAAAACAGTTTTCAGTGTTCCACTGGCAACAGCCTCATGCATATTATGTTTACTGTTGCATGTGTTGATTGCATTAAGAGGCCACGCTGAGTAACTGGCCTACACCATTTAGGTTTGTGTAAGTACACCCTATGATGCTAGCACAATGACAACATTGCTTAGTGATGCATTTCTCAGAACATATCCCTGTTGCTAAGTGATATCTGAATACACACACACACACACACACACACACACACACACACACACATATGTGTGCATGTATATATTTTCCCCCATGGGCAATTTTGAATCCTCGACATCCTCTTGAATAAACTTAAGATTCCATAGTATCCCTAGGACCCCTTCCAAATGCCCTATGCCCTACATCTGCTACCCCCTTGTCCTGGTTAGTGAGCGGGTGGTTAGGCAGGGCTGGGTGTTGGCTTCCTCACTCGATACTCTCTGAGCTGGCCCTGGACCGTGTCAGAGTAGACTCGGTTCCACTGAAGGCTGATGGCTGTGCTGTTCATGACTCGGACTTTAACTTCGGTGGGTGCAGCCCTGGGATCTGCAATATGTTGGGACAGAGAGCTGGTTAAACAGGCAGGGATGGTCCTTGGACTCCAGGGTCTCCTCTGACATGCTATACCTCCACTCTACTGCACACTTGGTACTCCAGGAAATAGGGAAATCTTGGGTGGCAGTCTAGGTGTCCAGGGCAATTATTTGTGGCACTCATGTGCTGGGCTCATCTGCCCTCCATTCCATTTTCCACCTGTCCCCACTGCTCTGTGACCTGGGAGGCTGCCCTCCCTGGACCTTATCATCTGGGCTCCTTTTTCTCAGGCTCTGGGGTGAATTTGACCAATAGGAAGTGCAAACATGAGGTAGGAGGAGAGGGAAGGTCAGCATTGCTTCCCCTGGCTTCCTTTGCTGGGCTGCAGGTTGACAGTGCTGCATTCTTCTGCCCACAACTACAGCTCCTGAGGGTTGACCTTAAAAGCAGTGGTGACCCATGTGTCCCCTGCCCCACTGAGGCTCAGAGGGGAACCACAGCTTCTTGGCTGCCTCAGGAGGTTCATAAAACCTTGGTATTTTCTTCTAATGCTGTTCACATATTATCAGTAATCATGTCTGAGGAGACATCTGTTTCCTGCAAGCAGAAAACATTATCCACAGACAGGAGATGCTCTAATTTCATCCAGGACAGGAATGTGGCTCTGCGGGCTTTGCTCTGCAAAGCAGTGCAGGTCCCGGGGTAGACGGGTGCAATTGAATCTGTGTGGTGGTTCAGGAAGCCTGAGATTATACTCACCAATTAGCAGCCCCAACTAGAATTCTGTGTGGAAGAATCTGCTACCACAGAGGTGGGGACTGATTGGACCCTCTGTTGATCTCCAGTGGGTCCAATCAATGGCTGCCTCTAGGGCCTGGCCATCACTGCTTCCCTCTATGCTATCATAGGACCACTGACCCTACTTGGAGCCCAGACCTACCCTTTGTAGGAAATCTTTTGAAGATTTTCCTTCCTCCCTTCCTTTTGCTCACCTACCAATCCCCTTCTCTTTTCTTGGATCATACAGACACAACTGTTGAGTCAGTTGATTCTACCAATGCTCTTCTTTGCCCAAGGAGCTGTGGTGCAAGGCACCGAGGCCCCCACTCTCTGGACTGCCATACACACACTCCCACATATGGTTCTAGAATGCTGATTTTCCCAGGGCCAGCCTCTTAAGAACACCTTGTTTTATATTCAATTCCAAGAGCTAGGAGCAGTATTTGGAACACTAGCAGGTCAGTACTCTGCAGACTTCACTGCCTCAAGGCTCCTATGCCTGTGGGCACCTAGCCTGTGCCCTGCTTTCTTGGAGCATCTAACTATAGCTCTTTGGAATGGTAGTCCTTAAGTTTTTCTTGGTACCAGCACTGCCCGACAGTAAAGCAGCCTGTCTGGGAATCTAGGGACCTGAGTTCTGTTTTTAAGCATGACATTTGCTGTTGTAGAATCCTGGCAGGGTTTTCTCTAGAACCTCAGTTTTTATAGCTGTAAAGTTCTAGTACTGGAGTGTGTACTGGGTTAACTGGGGATGTGTTTGGAAGACAGTATACTCCTGCAGTTAGCAGGTACTGTGTATTCTGGGCTACTGGAGGGTAGCACTATTTCCTGGGAACTGGCTGCCCTCCCATAACCCACACTGAGGTCCCCATCCTGTGACAGTGGCCTTGTATGGCTTGGCAGTAAGGGTTCTGCTGGGGAAGGGAGATGGGCAGGTACTCACAATCTTCTCCTGAGTACCCAATGACAGTGTCAGGCTCAGGGCCCTTCCCAAAGTCATTTTCGGCCTGGACACGAATCTCATAGGGCACGTAGACAGGGGTCTGCCCCACCACGTAACGAGAGCCCCACACGGTCACGTTGTTCCAGGTCTCTCGAGTCTCTCTCCGACGCCACTTGACAATGTAGCGCAGGTTGGGGCCAAAGGCAGACGTGGCATTCATGGGCTGTGCAGGGAGACAGGAAGACAGGCAGGCAGAGTGGACAGGGTGCTGGTGAGGCCACCCCACATCTTGCCTTCTTCATGTGTGCCAAGCACTCTACCCAGCCCTGTCTGGCACTGGTCAGCTTCCTTGCAGTGCAGGGGAGTGTACTATGCTGAGTCTTGCAAAAGCCCAGAATCCTAGGAACTCTGTAGCACCCAGATTTTCTATGACAAATGCTTCACCAGAGACTTAATCACTTTGACTCTAAGAACCACCCACACCACAGGTGCACAGGGAATAAAAGCTTTACTTTTAACAAACCTCCTCCTAAGACAGCAGGAGCTAAAAACCAAAGGCTGGCAATCATAAGGTCTCCAGAGTTGGAAAGAAGATTCTGGTTTAACCAAGTAGGCCTCCTGCTAATAAACTCAAACATTCTAGAACTGACTTTAGTTCTGTCAAATGCACACGTGTTTTTCCTCCTCCACACACGAGAGCTATTTAACAGTGGGTGGAACCTGATTCTCTAAGGAACCCGGTTCAGAAACCAGGTTCCTGGACTTGCCACATAGTAGACCAGCTGCCCAGAACTTAAGTTCGGCCCAAAGCTGTTGGTCAAGGATGCTGGAGACACAGCCCTCAATGTGACAGGTTGACCATGACTCCAAGGAGCACTGTGTCTGCCTATTCCTCAGCATTGCTGTTTCAGTGGCTGTATTTATATCTTTCAGACTTCAAAGTAGTTGGAAAAAGTCATTTTGAGAACATCTGTCCAAATTTTAGTTTGGAACTATAGTCAAGGAGCCAGGATGAAGAGGGGATTTGACAGTCCTGACCTGGAAGAAGCCTTTCAAGTCATCTAGCCCATGCTGGAGGAAGGTCTTTCACTGTGCATGGCTCCAACAACCCACTGCAAGGAGCCATTACACAAGCTCAGTGCAGGGGTTTTGCTTCAGTCTTTCCTAAAGTCTAACCTGAGTCTCTTCTTCAGAGTCGGTCTATTTGATTCTGCTGGCATTCTCAAAGGCTTTTTCTAGACTGGAAGTCTGTAGACTTTGGTCACCTCTGCTCCTGTCTTTACTCTGAAACCCTGCTTATAGACATGTGTCCTGTTTGATTTCTGAATGCTCAGTTAGAGACTAGCTTGGTTCTCAGAGGACTGTGGCACCCAACCAGCTGGACAGTCTGGACCATACTTTGGCATCAGGGGTATAAAGAAAGGGGGTTCCCAGGTGTTTGCTGCTAGGCCAGTGGCCAGCTGAGGGCTGCAGGGGTGCTCTTACCGTCCATGTGATCTCCATGTTGTTCTTTCTTGTCCCCTCTCCCTTCACATCGCTGGGATTGGACTCCGGAGCTAGAAAGCAGACAGGCAGTGTTGATGTACAGCCTAGGCCTTGTCTGGGTATGGGAAGCACTCTGTTCTCTCCCACCTGACCAGCCCGCCTGTGCTCTGGTTTCTCTCACTTCTCTCTTTCTCCTGTGCATGATATATCTTCCTGGTGAAGACATAAACCCCAAAGCAGAGCTAATTTCTTTTAAACTTTAATCCTTTACCAGACAGAACTTATCAAAAGGCTTTCCACACTGTGGGTGGTCAATGCACTAATGCCACATGGCAATTCCTTTCATAGATCATCTGCTGAGTATATTTCATGCCATGCTGGCTTAGCCTGGTGTTTAATGTTTGCAAGGGAGCATTTCTATCTCTATGAGTTGGTGTGATTTCAGAAATTTAAACATTACCTGAGAGTTAGGAAAAGAAATATGACCTAATACCAGATTATAGATCTCTGCCACAGCTCCCTTTTTAAACAAATAATCAAGGATCATTACTAATAGTAAAAGTGCAGTTAGGATTTATTGTATGCATACTATATACTAAGCATCACAGTAAGTGTTGGACACATTTCCTTTCTTTCTTTCCTTTTCTCTCTTTTCCTCCCTCCCTTCTCTCTCACTTCTATGTTGTGTGTGTATATGTGTGTGCATATGTGTGGAGAGCACAGGTCAATGCCGGCTGTCTTCTTAATCACTTTTCACCTCTCCCTGTACCTGCAGCCCACCAATCCAGCCAACCAGCCAACCAGCAAGCCCCAGAGATCCTCCTAGCTCTACTTCCCCAGTGCTTGGATTAGATGAGTGGCCTGTGCCAGCTTTTATATGGTTACTGGGGATTGAATTCAGGTCCTATGAGCCATCTTCTCAGACCCAAAGACACTTGTTTTCTTATTTTTATTATATTTAATTATTTTGTGTATATGTGTATATGGAAGTCAGAGGACAACTTCTGGGAGTTGGTTCTCTTTTTCTATCATTTCAGCCCCTGGGATCAAACTCAGGTCATCAAACTTGGCAGCAAGCGCTTTTTTGACCTTCTGAGACACTCCTTTCAGCCAGGTCAGGTCAGCCCCAATATGTATTTTCAAATGGGAGTCCTCACCATAGCCCCAGAGATGTATATGTTATTACCGTTCTGTTTCATAGGTGAGGAAGCCACGCCCTGGAGAGGGGATTAACTTTCTTGAGTTCCTATGGTGGGGAGCTGAGGGAGAGTCAATATGAACTCAGGATGCCTGGAACCCAAGTACTCACGTGCCCCACTGGTTCGGTAGCGCTCAGATGGGAGGCTGGGGTGGCTACTCCCAACCTCATTGACAGCAATGACTCGGAATTGATAGTTGACATATGGGGACAGCTGGAGGACAGCTGAGTTGACACTGCCTGGGAACTTGGAATGGTCATGCCAGATCCCTGGCTGGAATTGGTCCTCTTCAAACTGGATGACGTAGTCTGAGTGGACAAGGAGGACAGACTGTTTTGAGAGCTGAGTCACAAAGGTCTACTTTAGAAGCACTTCCTCTTGGTGTCCAGTCATCTTTATCATCTCCCTGGCGTAGACAGTGGCACATGAAGAAGTCTTTCCTAGACACAGGAGGGAGCCAAGGCTTCCATGCAAGGGTCATGAGGCAGAGGTAGCACAGACACCATTGAGGGTCCTGGTTCAAGGCTGTCACTGGCCCTCTTTCTAGCTTTGGAGCACAGGGGCCCGAGCTGACCTGTGATGGGGCTGTTGTTGTCGTCCCCTGGGATCCAGGTCAACCTCACACTCCTTTCAGCCAGGTCAGTGAGCTCCAGGTCCCTGGGTCGATCTGGCCGCCCTGGCAGCAGAGTAAGACACCACACAGAACTCCTGAGTTAGGGCGAGTCCCTCTCCTTGGGGTAGCCCCCGTTCTGTACTGGTCCCCAAGGGGCTAAGTTCTCTACTATGAGCAGATCAAACCCCAACCACCCCCTTCCTTCCAGGGGACAAGGAAGAAAGAATATCAAAGAACGTAGAGCAAGGAAATAAAGAAAATCAGGTAGGCAGAGAGAACTGGATCTTTTAGAGCACACACACTGGGAAAGAGCTGCTGCTCCCATCAGATCCCTGCTACATTCACGGAAGCTGATGGGGAGGAGTGGGGCTTGGTTCAGTTTTCATGATGTCTGCCTTCTGCTCTATACATCAGGGCTCTAAGAGAACCAGAGCCCAGGAAAGGTCTGCAGTGCTGAGCAAGGCAGATAGATGAGGAAAACGGGGAGGATACAATGAAAGACCAGGCCAGGTAAAGGATGGAGACAGTCTGGACTAAGTGATGGGTGTAGGACAGAAGGGGCCCAAGGCTTCCACAGAGGGGTGAGCAAAGCACCTTTGGGGAATTGTTCTACTGAGTATCAGCATTGTCCTGGCTTGAGAAGAGAGCCATCCAGCCATTGAATGGGGGTAGGCAACTTTCCCCCACATCTTGCTCACTAAATCAGCTGTTTCAAAACTTTGGCTGGTTACTGGAAGAACTTGGACAGTTAGTCACATAAGCCTGTGTGTGTGTGTGTGTGTGTGTGTGTGTGTGTGTGTGTGTGAAATTGTGCAGTTTGTGACATATGCGTGTGTGTGTGTGTGTGTGTGTGTGTGTGTGTGTGTGTGTGTGTGTATTATACACGGATATACAGCAGCAACTGATGGGCCTATAGGGGATAATCTGAGGGAGCAGCTTTCCTGATTGGTTCTTAGGTACATCAGAGGCTGATCTTGGAAGCTGGGGAGGAGAAGGCAGGTACTCAAGGGAGGGTTCAGTGTCATAGAGGGGAAGGAGGGAAGAAGTGGTGGCCCAGAATTTATGAGCTCAGCCAGAGCAGGGTTGTGACAAGGCTCAGGGAGGCAGGTGTCTGGTGCATGAGGTTGGGGAATCAAATGTGGTGGGGCATGTGCAACACAGTCTGCAATGTGTTGTTTTCCCCGGGGGCACCTTCCTCCTCAGGATTCCATCCCTGGGCTCCAGGACCCCTGATTAGTACAAATTACCTTTGGGTAGGGCAGCCAAACGGTTAGTTGGAGTGGCCTGATCAGCTGCAAAGGTAAGATGGGTTATCCAGGTTAGCAGGTTATTCAGGGTTAAAGGGTTCTGGAAGGATGGGGTTGGATAGCTGAGGCTTGCATAACAGTCTATAGGTCAAGGATATACACTCCCTTTCATGGAGAGCCCCACCTCCCAAAGGACTTCTTGTGTTTCTTCCATGACCCTAGGCTAGGGTGGGGTCTCTGGTTACTTTCTGTCCTACTACTGTTAACATGCCAGGGCCCACCATGGCCAGTAAATACGATTTCCACTGCAGGGGGGCAGCAATGTCCCAGTGCTCATGGCAGCAGGAGTCCAGAGAGAGGTCAGGACAAAGGTGCCACCAGGACAGTGGAGGATCTGCTTCCCTGGAAAGGGCAGTCCTTTCCCTCTACTTAGGATGGTTTAATGTTTGTGGTCCAGCCAGGACACATGGGCTTCCTAAAGGGTGGCATCATCTTGTTCATGTGCCACACACTGAAATGCCACCCAAACGCAGGAGCAATATGGGAGGTGAGGGAAACTGGAGACGGTTGTTGTAAACACAAATACAAAACTTGGTCATACTTCAGATGGCTTTAACCAACCTGGTAGTATAGAGACAGCGGTCAGGGAAGGAGAGCCGGCGATCTCTCCACTTTCTATCACTCCACACCTCCAGCTGGGGGTCAAGGATCTCACTTAGGAGATGGAACTCCAAATTATCTGCACAGCTGGTTTTGAGAGTGGCAGATTCCTAACTCAGAGACTTGAAGGTCACTGCACGTGACTGCTGCTGACTAGGTGCTGCTCTACATCATCTAGGGCTCACAGCTGCTCTGTCTTCTGGGGAGCAGGGAGAATGGTTGCTAGTGTTGATGTAGGTGGCAGCTGTTACCTAGAACAGTGAGATAGGCCTTGGCCAGGTCTTGGTCCAGCTCGGTGCTAGCCATGCATGTGTAACTGCCTTGGTCCCGTTCTGCCACGCCAAAGATGGTCAGGGAATCATCTTCTTTCTTCATCCTGAAAGAGGGAATGCTAGGGTTGGTAGGAGGATGGCATAGATACTGGGCATAGCTGCTAATTTCTCCCCACAGGGAAACAATGAGGGGGCAGAGGGAGGTGGCAGAACTAGGCCGAGAAGCCATGGTTCCTCTGAGGAGTATGAGGTGCCATCTCAACACTCTGCCTCAATGCAGGAGAAAAAGTGAATGGAGGTTTGGTGCCCCTGGAGTCCACACTGAACTCATCTCTGAGCCTTTCTTGCTCACACCTCTCGCCTGTTGACACTAAAGGGAGGAGGCACCCCAGAGCAGTACAGGATTGCAAAGCTGTCAGTACCAATGGGTAGTGAATGTCTGCACCCACCCTCAGGGGGCAGCCCTGCACAAAACTGGATATGCCTAGAAGTGGCTGGTATCCTAGGCCCTAGAAGAGGGATCACAAAGAGAGCCCTTGGGAGGGAGGTTGGCTTCAGAGGATCTCAGCCATGAGCACACATTATAAACACCCAGGGGGCCTTTAAAACACCACCAGCACTTAAGGTCTACCCTTAGATCAGAGAAGTCAGAACAGGGGTCCAGTATGTGCAGCTGGGGCACAGTTAAAGCATCCAGGTGCTCTAGGGACTGAGCACCACCAGGAACTGCACCGGGTGAGGTGGCTGCAGCCCGCCCTGCCCTCTACTGGTGAGCAGGAGTACTGCAGGGAGGGCTGAAAGGCTTAGAGGCTGGATGCAGCAGAGATAGAAGGGGCGGAGTAGGAAGAAGAAAGAGTATGGGGGCAGGGGGAATGAGGAAGAGAGAGAAAAGATGAAAGAAAGAGCAGCAGGAAGCTGATGATAGGAGAGAAGAGTGTATTATAGTTGATCCTGAGGGACGTCGTTAAAACCATCATCCCACCTAGTTGCTACTTAGTAACACGTGTGAGACCCAAAGTAAGGACAAACAAACTGCTCCTTAAATGGTCACCAGGAATGGAGAAGGGAGAACAGAAACCTGTTTCCAATATAGAGTGGCTCATCATCCTTCAGCCAAGAGACCGTAAGTTTCAAGGAAGGGTCATGCTTCACACGACACTCAAGCTGCACTGTGGTGCCCCTCTTGGCTACCTGGTCCTCAGGCATCCGATAGATCCTGGTGGGGTCTGTGGAGACATCCGTGATGGGGAGGGAGGCTGGCCACCGACCTGCTCTCTACCCACCAGCTCCATGTGGTTGATGTGCTGACCTCATCGTGCAGTAAGAATGGAGGTGAGTTCTTGTGTGGTGGATGATCAAAATCTCCAGAGGGTTCTCTGCCTCAGAAATGGGTCGGGCGGGGGGGGGGGGGGGGGGGGGGGCCCTTTGGCCCAGGGGGAAAAGCGCCTTTGAGCTGGGTGGGCCCTTTGGACCAGGCTGATAAGCTGCCTTGGTGTTCCTCCACCTGGGTTGGATGGAGGCCCTGGGAGGACATGCAGGTACACACAGGGGAGCCCACCAGGATCAGACAGCAGGAAGGGGCATTTTCAAAGGCCTTCGAACATAGGAACACCTGTGAGCTTAACTTTCTCATCCCACCTGAACTCCTACCCATCAGCCTCCTTGCTCACCTTTGACCTCCAGGCGAACTTGGTTTTCAGCCTTGCCCAGGATGTTAGTGGCCACACAGGTGTAGATGCCTTGGTCCTCTTTACGGATCATCTTGATTTCCAGACTGCCATTTTCATAGACGTGGTAGTTGCCACCATCCAGGTTGCTTCCTTGTCCATTCTTAAACCTCACAACAGAGCAGTCAAACACAGCATACTGAGAAAGGACTGGCTCAAGGGAGCTGAGCAGCAGCAGAGACCATAGGGGCAAAGGGAGGAGCCAGAGCTAGGAGCATGGAGCCCTGTCTTGTAAGGCTTAGCTATTAACTACTAGTTGGCTCTAGAGAGACTTCAGGCCCTCTCTGAAAAATAATGGGGTTCACCCAGATGACCATCCTTACCCTTTAATGTTCAGAGGTCTTGTTGAATAACTACTTTTGGCCAGATAAGAAGCAGGAAGGTGTACAGATGACCCCTTCTCATGAAGACCTGGTCTCCTGGGACTTACCATCGGAGTGTGGGAATGGGAGACCCAAAGAATGGGCAGTCCAGTCGTGTCCGGTTGTAAAGGATCACTCTGATGAGCTGGTTCCGGGGTGACAGCATCCGAGGAGGCACATCTGAAACCCCAGAGAGCCAATTTGCTAATGTGGCTGTGGGGTGCAACCTTTCCTCTCCTTCCCTGGTCCTACCGCTCCATGCCTTCTCCTCACAGCAGCTTTCAGGCACCAGATACTCTTAGCCATCCCTTCCTTTCAGAAGCCTCTAAGGCAGACATGTCCAACCTTGGTTCATGGGCCACATGCATCTGACGATAATTATAAATGCCACCCAACACATTTGTAGACCATAAGGTCATGTCACAGTCAAAAGATGGGATATCCTTGCAGTAAGGTTTAGGTGGGGGAAGAGTTCATGGATTCATCTGTCTATCCCTCATTTTACCTACATTCAAACCAACTTTTGCAAAATGTTTCCCCAAATTATCCCCCAAATTTTGGAGCTGCTCTTCCATAGCCTTGAGACATCTTGTAGCTTACCAGTTCCTGCTACTCTCTCCTTGCTCAGGGAGTGGGGCAACCATGCTTAGAACCACTTCCTACCCTGCTTCTCTGATGGTATTAATGGTGGTCATCAGGCTCAGTGGAGTTCAAGTCCTCTGTCCTTCCCATAAACCTCATCTTCATTTACCACATCGCCCCCATCCTGCCCAGCTTGGCTAGGCTCCAGAGAAGAAAATGTATCCCATGACATAACAACACCCCAGGGAGACCCTACTGTGGACAGGCAGACACTGCTGCGAGGCTGTGCTCACCCAACACACTGACGAAGGCATTGGCCAGCAGGTAGCCATGCTCATTGGATGTGTTGCACTGGTACACTGCCCTGCTGCTGATCTGGGTGTCCCGGAAGATGATGGTGTCTCCGGCCACCTCACGGTTTGGGTTGGGTGGTGCCGCTACAGGGAAGAAAGAGATGCTCCTCATAAGAAGTTGAATTGGGTAGACTGAAAAACATGTGGGGCTCTGGCCAAGGTCCTAAGGATGCTGAGGGTTCTGTGGAAGAGGCAGCTGGATGGACCCTGGAAGAGCTACTGCTGAGCCATGTGATGGGAGCTTGTTTCCCAGTCCATCTGGTGGGAATATGAGTCTCTGCTCAACACAAGCAATAGCTGGGCAGCTTTGGAAATGGCAATCTAAACCATCACCTGTCAGCATTGTTCAAATCCTGTCTCCTTCAGTTCCTGGTCTGTAGAACAGGAACACGCTACCTCGTGTTTTTGTGACGTTATCTTGAGATTTTATATACATGTGTAAAGTGGTTAGCAGAAGGCCCAGCAATACTGCCACTGTTTCATTCAATTTAATCAATTAATTTTTTATTTTTTTGAGACAGGATCTTTCTATGTAGCTTTTGCTGGCCTTGAACTCACTGTGTAGCCCAGGCTGAACTTATGACAATCCTCCTGCCTTAGCCTTCCAATGCTGGGATTACAGGTGTGAGTCACCATGCCAGGCACTTATTTTAACCCAATGTACACTGATAAGGATACAGCAACCTCTAAGTAGCCAAAAGCCACCATCTTCCCATCCTCTCAGCAGAACCATCTACATGCACAAAGCCAAGTCCACTAGCTAAAGTCTGGTGCCAGCTGAGTCTTCATGCTTGCCAAAAGGTCTTCCCAAGAAATGTAGCCTACATAGGCCATTCCCACCAATAGTTCTTCTATTCCTGGCTTAGGGAACAGAGAGCAGAGGTGAGGGGTTGGGGGGCATGTAGGGTCTTGGCCCTGTCTATAAATTGTTCTGGGTCTTGGGGAAAATGAAGCAATGCATCTGTCTTAGAGAAACATCACTCCCACCTACCCCACTCAAAGAAAGAATAAGGCGAGCGAATGATGAACAGCTATAAAACATTTTCTAGAAATGTATAGAGCTGTCACTTTGCTCATCTTTAATCCCTGGAGATTTCTGGGCTGGGAAGCAGATGCTTTTGCTTGCAGATGCTGTGAGCTCATAGGGATTGCTCAGACCTACAAGGGAAGCAGGAGTCTGGCCTCGTGGCGCCACCCAGATAGTGAATCTGGGACTGGAATTGGGGACTCAGCAGAAGGTAAAAGAAGACACAAGAAGCATCCTTATCACCCGCCCTGGGACCCACTCAGCAAAAAGGCATGGAGGGAGTGGCACCACCAACTGGAACAGATCTTTGCCTGGCAAATTTCAGGAACCTAACTTCCCTGCCAGTCACTCCTTTTAGGTGCTCCCTGTAGAGGGTGACAGGTGACCTTGCCAGGGACAAGACTCAGCTGCCACACCTGCATCTGCTGCACAGTGCTCTAAAGGGTATTGCCATTGCCTGCTTCCCCCAGTCTATAAAGACAGAGACCTGCAGGCCACAGGCTGTGGTCATATTTCACGGTGGAGTAATGGGATTTCTTGGGAACAGCCACAGGTTCAGTACTGGCCAGCACATGTGTGCTGCAGTCCACCACAATCCTCAGCTTCTAGGTTTATCCGCCCTGTGACCTCCAGTAATTCACCACAGCCTATCACGGCTTGCTTCCTCGACTGCTGTATTTGAGCACCTAACGTGATGACTGTCTAGGAAGGTGCATGCTTCTGAGTCCACCAGCTTCTCCCCTGTGCCTGTCCCTTCTGCCTCTCCACTTGTTTCTTTCCTTTTCTTGACTGCCTATAAAATTTTTTTGGGAGGGGAGGGGTGAGAGATGGCTCAGTGGTTAAGAGCAACGGCTGCTCTTGCAGAGGACCCAGGTTCTGTTCCCAGCACCCACATGGCAGCTAACAACTGTTCATAACTCCAGTTCCAGGGGATCTGATGCCCTCTTCTGGGCCCTGCAGGCATTGCATGACTCTAGTGCACTTACATCCATGCAGGCAATACACTCATACACATAAAATAAAAACAATAAATAAAATATTTAAAATTTTTTGGAGTTATTTTTATTTTATGAATATGACTGTTTTGCCTCCATGGATGTAAGTGCATTTGTGTTGTGCAATAACTGCAGAGCCCAGAAGAGGGAACTGGAACTGGATTTCCAGACAATTATCAGCAGCCATGTGGGTACTGGGAACCAAACCTGGGTTCTCTGGAAGAGCAGTCAGTGCTCTTAACCTCGGAGTCATCTCTCCAGCCCTCAACTTTTTTTGAAATTATTTTTTTAGTTAGAATACAAAAATAATGGGTTACATGATGACATTTTTCATACATATGTATCACTATACCCTGTTTATATTCTCCTGTCATACACTCCCATCTCCCTATTCCCTGCTGCTCCTCTTTCTCCTCCCTCACACAGTCTACTTTCATGTCACATATACATATGTGTGTAGCTAAATCTAGATTCTGCATATTAGAGAATACATGGGATTTTTGTCTTTCTGAGTCTGGCTTATTCACTTAACATGACAATACAAATAGCGTTTCTTATTCTCTATGTCTGAATAAAATTCCATTGTGCCATGCACCATGTCTCCTCTATTCATCTCTGGATGTGCAAAGAGGCTGGTTCTATATCCGGGCTACCATCAAACAAGCAGCAGTATACATGGAAGTGCAATTATCTCTGTGATGTGTGGATTTAAATCCTTTTAGTATACGTCCAGGAGTAGTATAGCAGGATTATATGGTAATTCTATTTTTAGTTTTATAAAAGGTATTTATTTATCGTGTGTATATGCATGCTGCCAGGGCACTTGATTGGAAGTCAGAGAATAACTTTTATCCTGTGAGTCTGAGGACTCAAAACTTGAGTGGTCAGGCCTGGTGGCAGGTGCCTTAATCTGCTGAGACATCTCATTAGCCCAAATATAAATGTTTGGGGAATGAGGTATTTATTAAGTCTGCATGTGACATGTGTGTTTGTGCATGCCACAGCACACATGTGGAGGGCAGAGGATAACTCTATGGAGTTGGTTCTCTCCTTTCATCTTTATGTGGGTTCTGGGGAATGAACTCAGACTGTTAGGTTTCTGCGACAAGTATCTTTACCGCTGAGCCATCTCACCAGTTTTTAACTTTTTTAGGAGCTTCCCAGTGACTGCACCAGTTTACACTTTTACCAGCAGTGGATGAGAGTTCCTCTTCCCTCACACCTTCATCAGCATTTACTGTTTGTTTTCTTGATGACAGTCATTCTGACTAGAGTTTTAATTTGCATCTTCCTGATGGCTCAAGATGTTAAACATTTTTTCATGTATTTATTGGTTATTTTTATTTCTTCTTTTGAGAGCTATTTCTTCTGTTAATTTGTCTATTTATTGATTAGATGGTTTGTTTTTCCTGGTTGTTTAATTTTGGGAGTTCTTCATATATTCTAGATAATAATCCTGTAAGATATGTAGTTGACCAACTTTCGCCCATGCTGCAGGTTGTCTCTTTGCTCTGCTGACTGTTTCATTGTAGTTCAGAAGCTTTTAAAGTACATATAACCCCCTGGTCAATTCTGCAGACTGTTTCCTGAGATACTAGTCTTTTGCAGAAAGTCCTTGCCTATGCCCACATCTTCAAGTGTTTTCTTTATGCTTCCTCTAGAAGTTTCAGTGTTTCAGGTCTTACATTAAGATCCATTTTAAGTTGATTTTTTCACAGGTTGAAAAATATGGATATAGTTTCATTCTTCTACACATAGACATTAAAGTTTTCTAGTACCATTTTTCTGAAGAGCCTGTTCTTCTCTCCGATGTGTTTTTGGCACCTTTGTCAAAAATCAGGTGCTGGTATCTGGGTGAGTTTATATCTAGGTCCCTGTATTGTATTCCATTGGTCTATTTTATTTATTTTTGTGATATTATGCTGTTTTGTTACTCTAACTCTGTAGTAAAGTTTGAGATCAACTATTACGATGCCTCTAGCATTGTTCTTTCTGCCTAGGATTGCATTGGCTATTTGGGATCTTCTGTGTTACCACATCATTTTTAGGATTTTTTTCTAACTGTATGAAGGATGTCATTGGGATTTTGATGGGGACTGAGTTGAATTGATAGGTTGATTCTGGTAATACAGACATTTTCACAGTATTAATTCTGCCAACCCATGAACATGGGAGGTTGAGAGGGTTAATATTGTTAACTTGATCTAGAATCCAAGGAGACAAGCCTCTGTGCATGCCTGTGAGAGATTATCTAGATTAGGTTAACTGAGGTGGGAAGACCCATCTTAACTGTGGCTTTCCCATAGGCTGAGGTCCTGGCCTGAATTAAAAGTAGAAACAAGCTGAGCACCAGCATTTATCACTCTTCCTCACTGTAGATGCAATGTGAACAGCTGCCTCAAGCTCATGTCATGACTTCCCTACCAGGATGGACTGTGTCCTGGAATGGAACCAGAATAAACTCACCCTCCCTTAAGGTGAGGTATTTTGTCACAGTGACAAGATAAGTAACTAATACAGAGGTCTTTCCAATTTCAAGTGTTCTCTTTTTTAATTTCATTCTTCAGTGTTTTAAAGTTTTCATTGTAGAAGTCTTTCACCTTCTTGGTTAGATTTATTCCTATGGTTTTATTTTATTTGAGGCTATTTTGAATGGGACCTTTTCTCTGATATTTTCTCTCAGCAAGTCTGTTATTGGTATAAAGGAAAGCTACTGATTTCTATATAGTGATTTTTTACCTGCTTTACTGGAAGTTATTTATTAAATCTAAGAGGTTTCTGGTGGTCTTTAGAGTCTTTTAAGTATTTTCATGTCATCTGGAAATAGGGAAAATTCAACTTATTTTCCTATTTATATTCTTTTTTTTTTTTTGTCTTTTTGAGACAGGGTTTCCCTGTAGCCCCAGCTGGACTGGAACTCACTATGTAGACCAGGCTGGCCTCGAACTCACAGAGATCCACTTGCCTCTGTCTCCCAAGTGCTGGGATTAAAGGCGTGCACCACCACGCCTGGCTTTATATTCTTTTTAAAAATATTTTTATCTTTATATGTATGAGTGTAT